ATTTTCCCATTGACCTTATTTATGTGACATTCCCGTGTGCATGGCGTACGTCCGGTATCTAATGTTTCTACGACTTTCTGTGCTTACGTCGAATGCCATGTCGCAATAATAAACAAGGAAAATTCAAATATACGGAGAAGCACATGTCGCAAAACGTGTTTGAGAAGCAGATGCGCTTGCATTTCTCGACCTTAAACGGGAAAGAACAATTCTTGCGAGAAGCGTATTCCTTTTTTTTTCTTGAATGTTATTGTATAAAATAGAAAAGAAAATTACGAACACTAATTATCAACAATTAAATGATGATTAAAAAAAAAAAAATTTCGAAACTATTGAGTTCGCGGTTCGATCGATGATTTGAAATTTCGCAACGCGTGCTCACGTTCATCGCACATGCGAGATACTACACGCTACCTATTCAGGTAGTACAAGCGTCGATGAAAGCGAGTCGTGGCGCACTTTCAATTTCACGTTCCGTATCGCGCAATATACGATGCCCCAATTACGTTCACGCGTCGCGATAACAACATTCGTCGCCCTTGTTTTAATCTCAAGACCGAGCGCAGCCGTTAATCTAAAACGCAACGCACCGACCGGAAGGCAACGACGTGGAGACGAGGAGGAGTCGGCGAGGAGCGTGCGAAAAACAACGCTTCGCAGTGAAATAATATCCGGGCCGATGTTGCGACCGTGTCATATTAAAAGTCGCTCCGTCGGAACGGCGGATTCGCGCTCGCAGATTTATTCGCCTCCAAAATTAAAACGCGAGTGTACGTTCGCGCGCGGAACGCCGGCGTGCGTGTTGCAGGTGCAAGTCGACGGCGAAGCCGACGGGGGATTTTTGCTCGCAAGTCGACACATAGCTTAATATTCGCGCGGATCGACGGGAATGACAAACGACATCGGCAACGAGCGGGCCGATGCATCGCGTCGCGCCGTTGGCATGGCGCTCAAATTGCGAATATTCGACGCGCGTGTACTTCTCGGGGCACATCCATCAAACGTCTCTACACGTGCGCGTCCGCGCGGGGATACGAGACGCCGCGCACGTGTCGAGTCCGGGCGAACGCGAGGATCCGCGGACGGATCGATGCGAATCGCGTCGCGACGCGGCGTGGCGCGCCACGACGTCCATGCCGGACCCGCGAAACGTATGAATATTCCGCGCGTGCGACGCTCTCAAATACGAGCGCGATGCGCAATGTATTCCAAGGGAACAGGAAATCCTCTCAGTGACGAACTCTTTGACGAAAATGCTGATACAAAAGTATGAAGTAAACGAGATTAAAATTTGCAAAAGAACAACAAATATCAATATATTTTGCAGACTCAGTCATCATGAACTGTCAAAATTACCAATAAGAGTGCCACCACGAGTTAGCCGTATTGTTTTCATATCGACACACACACATTGCTGTACAAATACGCGATATAACCTCCTGGCACAAACTGTGCCCTGAGAGAAAAAATATCTAAAAACTAGTAAATACTCTATTTAAAATAGTAAACACTTATGTATATTAATAATATAAATTATTTTATTGAAATTGTATAAAGCATTGCTTTTTCATGCAAAACTAAAGTTTCTTTAAGGTTTTAAGAAAATGTATATTTTCTTATTTGCCAAATATTTTATATTAATACAAGTAAATATCAATATTCGCATCTATTATTTCTTCTAGATATTTTTTTAGCATATATATATACGCATCTCTGTTTGTGTACATTCATTCTAACGCGAGTTTAATGAAGCGAGTGAAAACATCACTTTTGTAGGGCTAGTATAATCAACTCTTTTTGCTGAGACAATAATTCTAGGTTATCTTTTCGACTCGTGTACTTTACCCCGATTTAAAAGAACCAATGTCAGTAAACAAGATCATAGGTCATTACTGTCTGGTTAACAGGTACAAGGGTCGTAGTAGTACGTGCAGTAACGCGGTGTAGTAACAGGAGTAGGAGTAGTAACAGCCGTGTGGTGGTGGTGGTGGTGGTGGTGGTAGTAGTGGTAGTGGTGGTGGCGGCAGCAGCGGTAGTGGTGGTGGTGGGAAAGCTCGTGTACTTATACTTACCCGTTCCCCGATTATGCGAGAGCGCGCGTTTTCAAAACATGCTCTGTTGACCTCGCTCATCGATAGTAACTCGCTCACTGTTCATCCGAATTCTCGCGAGTCTTGCAGCTATGTTAATATTCCCGGAGTGCGTATCGATACCTATTCAAACGAGGCGCACCGCCAGCGCTCGTACGAGAATTACGAGCGGGATTGGGCTCGAGAGGAACATCGCTAGGCTAGGCTAGGCTAGGCCAGGCCAAGCCAGACCAGGGTAAGCCTAGGTAGGCCAGCCAGCCAGCTAGCTCTAGCGCGTTCCCGCGCGTGTGCTCCGTACGCCGCAATTACTTAATTGCTCGTATCTGATTGGGCCTGCCGCGGGGGAGGGATAACGGTGTCCTCGGTTCGTGATTTGCGCGCCGCGCGTGCAACGCGCTTCCATTGGCCGGGTTACCTGGGCGGCCGACGAATCAGCCATTCATTTCTGAAACCCCGCGCCACCGGCGCTAGTAACCCCCGAGAGAGCGACGGAGAGAGGGACGCTATGTGCGCGCGCGCGCGCGCGACAGAGAGCGACGAGTATCGAAGTTTCGAATGCGCCCGACATCGATAGCCGCCGTCACCGCCACCGCCACCGCCGCTGCCGCCGCCGCCGCCGAGTTGCGGCAACGCCGCGCGTCCTCGCGACAGTACGAGGCCGACGCGCTCGCGTGTCGCAGAAATCTAGCGACGAGACGAGAACGGAGGGAAAGGGAAGCGAGAGAGGTGGTAGAGGAGGAGGGGAGGAGAGAGAGAGAGGGAACGAGTGAAAAATAAAAGGGGAAATAGAGCGAAGGAAAAAGAGAAAGAGAGGTACTCGTCGTTATCGTAACGAGACAGAACGCGCCGTGACAAATGCCAAATAACACATAAAAAAATAACGAGAGAAAGAGAGACAGAGAAAGACGAGTGCGCGAGGGAGAGAGGGGAAAAAAGGAAGAATCGAAGCGCCGGTCTCGCGGTGGTGGCGACAGTGGGGCGCGGAGCACGCTCTCTCGCGGTAGCTGTACCAAGCGTCAGTGTCAATATGGCCGTTGACGTGAGCGCAGTACGTGCAGAGACGCGGACGCGATAGTCTCGGTTCGATCTCCCTAACATGAGGTATACTGACGACCGGGAGGGACGCTTTTACGTAATACCTGTATAACGCACGCCCGGCACGTACCCGCAAAATGAACTGCGCCGCGCCGGAGGCGGCTGCCGCGAGCGGCGAACAGATCAGTGCGGTACAAGGTACGTGGTGCAACATCTCCGTCGCTCGCTTGCTGAAGCGAACGAACGAACGTACGTACGTCGATCGTATTCTTCGCATCTCTCCCTCTCCTGCATGGACCGGGGACCGAGACCTCGCAAGGACGAATCGTCGTCGTCGTCGTCTTCGTGTTTACGAGCGCGTCTCACGCGACACCCACGCGTGACTCCGCGCGCGCGGCCAGCTTGGCCGCGATCGATTGGCCGTATCGCGATTTTTATCGCCGTTGTCATTCAACTATCGCTCTCGTCGTGGCCGCAGCCAAGCTCCACTCCGCGTCGTGTGCAATGCGCGCGCGAGCGAGCGAGCCGCGTGGCCTGTCGCCGTCTCGCTCGCGCTCGTTCACTCGCTCGTGGCCGAGCCGCGCTTCTCTCGTCTGCATCTCGTCGTTTGTGCCCACGACGAAAATTCCAAGGAATCTCGGTGCTCATGAGGCGAGTGCTCGACGACGACGACGAGGAGGTGACTCTCGAGTGTCGCGATGAAAGTGTGTGATTCACGCGGTGCGTCAGTTCGTTCAACGATCGTGCCTTTGTCTTTTGGAAGAAAATGAACACGGAAAACGCTTTCGTGCGAGAAAGACAGAGAGAGAGAGATATATATATAGATAGATAGAGAGAGAGAAAGAGACACACCACGACTCGGAATCTCACGTGCTGTTTCTGTGCGAGCGATCGACTGCTCCTTCCGCTCTTCGTCTTGGGAGACGATGCACGTTGTGCTCCCTTTTTCCCCACACGTTTTTCCGAGGATATTTACGGCGGAGGGTCTCCGTGGAACACGCGCACACGTGCGCGCGCGTTTCGGTGAATGTTCCACGAATTCGCTCGGTCGCTCGACGACCCTCCAAGACAATCGATACGTCCTCGGGATTTTTACTATCAGTGTGTCTTCGCTCCTTCGCGACAATATTGCTTCATCGGCTCTCCGCGACCGCGATTCGCGCCAATTGTCATGCACGTTCGCGCAGCGGCCGATATTAACGCGCCTTTAATTCAGAAATCTCGTGGCATTTTCGGGAGTTGTTCGTTTCGCTCTGCCCGCGGGAGAGCACGTTCGTCTCGTTTTCGAGACTGTGCGCACGCACACATAGACGCGCAGTGAAGCGGCTCCGGGAAACGTGGTGTTCAGCTGTGTGAACGTTACAGAAATATACAACCGTCTTTTGGGGACACTCGGTAGTCTACATGGGCCTCGGCACCTGTCGCGGCAGATGTTAGGAATGGTCAGGGTTGTGCGCGGAAGAAGGCGACAGGCAATTTTTTAAACGCGCTCGAGTCATAGACGCGCGACCGGCTAACGATCTCGCTGGTGTCGAGCGCTATTTCTTCAATCGATGTCGACGGGTGTTACATTCTATTGGGCTTCCACGTAAATTCGATCCCATTTAAACGACACGCTAACGTCCGCGCGGAAAATACCCCGCATTCCGTCTGGCGGCTGGAACCGGTTCAGACGCATTTTCTGCAATCACTGAAACGTGACACGAAATTTCTATTTGCCGTAAAGACATTCCCATTAAGTGAAACTCGACGTAGTTTCAGACGCATCTATACGTGTATATATTCATCCGTGTGATATTTTAGTATTAAAACGTGTCGTCGTGTGTTTTGTGTGGCTGGGATCTACTAAAAATGTTGCAAATGATTGATGTTTAGATATCAAAAACACAATGTTTAACAATGAAGGAGGATCTAAACTAAGCAGTGACGAAGCAAAATCAACAATTATAGAATTATTTCCCTGGGTCTCAGAATTTAAGAAAATGTGCAAATGTATATATGCAGACAAAAGTATGGCTTCTTTGGCAGAGCTTATGCAGTACTATATCAGGTAATCTACACTCAGTATTTCCTGTAATATTATACATACACAACTCACCACCAGTATTACCACTCTGAGCACTGGTGTTCACAGTACTATTGCATGATATATATTACAATGCAGGTGCAATGTGTGGCAATAATTGGTTTCTTCAAATAATTCAATGTTATCTTTTTGTGATTGTTAAACCAAATCAAATTATATTATCAAATATCAAATTATGACTTTTGCCAATTTTCTAGTCACTATCTCATCTTAGGAGTGCCTGTTGTTATAATATTAATATTGGTTGAGGTATCATTAAATATAAAAATTATAACATATTTCTCTATAATGACTAAAATTTTCTTCACGAAAGGGAGTTTTTTTAAATAAATAATAGCGACGTATATAATCATATGATTTTTTTAAATACAATTTTGGAATTTTATTTTTGCGACTATTATTTAGTAATTTACATTTATAAAAGAAGAAATAATCACAATCTCAAACTCTGAATGCATCTTCAAGATGTGTGACATGTTTATAATTGAAAATTTCAAATACAAATTGTAATTTAATAATTATTGCGATGTTACTGCAAATAAAATTAACAGATCTCTCATTGTAACATGTATAATTCCTGTAATATATCTCATTTTCCATAATTTATATATTGTTACTTTGCTCCTAAAACTGAAATAGCTTTAGCTATTATGCATTACACACACATACAACTTCCTCTACACCGTATCATTATTGAACTGATCTTGAGGGTCATCCTGCTGCTGCATTGACCCTCTCAATTGGTTAATCAGATTGTAACAGTCTGAAGGTCAAAAAAATATTGTCTTATTTGTTACAAGGCAATGTTGAAATTGCTAGAAAAAGATTATGCGTGTTATAGATCAATATAATTAAAAAAAAACACACAAAAGTTAATAAATCCTTAAAAACATTAATTTCATTGACACATTTTCTTTTTAGAGAAAATTTGGTGAAATTTTTGTCTAGTTTCTAATATTATGTAAATTATTTTCCTTTGAAACATTACAAATTGCATACTCATTGACTTTATACTATTTTTCACATTTTATATTTATTTTGTTTACGAATGTTTGAATATATTTATTTTTCACTTTTTATGCAATTAAATAACGATTGGTACATAAATGATTTAATGTACTGTGTACCTCAATTTCTTATCTTTTTATTACAGAAATGTAAGTGTCAGTGTAAATGAATGTTATACAAAGCCATTAAGGGCAGCAAAGTTGAAGGATTCTATTAGTGATACCTTACTTTTGTTCTTATATACCTATCGTGAGCTTTCTGAGGTAAGTTCAGTTTGGTCCATTCTATTACATTACATTTGTACAAATTTTTTACACTGTATTTTACTATATATATATAAATATATATATATATATATATATAAATATATATATAAATATATATATATATATATATATATATATATATATATAACACATATATACACACACACACACATACATACGCGCGCGCGCGTGTGTTTTGTGTGTGTGTGTTTGTATGTATATATGTATTAATGTATACTTTTTACGGTAATGCGGTTATTTATTCGGGTAAATAAAATCTCTTTCAGGATCGCAATAGATCAATTTATTTAAACAATATGTCCGATTTATTGGCAATGTACATAGATATGGAATTAAAAGCGTCAAGAAAAAGTAAAGAAGATCATAATAGAATTTGTACAAGACTTACTTCTTGTCTTTATGTATATTTAGGTATGTATTATTTCAAATATATTACTTATATATTCATTTATTTAATAATATCGATAATAATAAATCTTTTCTCTTATGCAGAACATTCCACAGAGCATTTGTTAGATACTTTGATAAAAATACAATTTATGTGCCGGGGTTATCATCGTATTTTAGATCCGATAATAACGTAAGTATACTTTACTGATACCAAGAATAAACTTGTCAACATTTGGCTATATCATTTCGTGGTTAGCATTTCTCTATTATCTTAAATTAAACAATTAATTTATTACGTTTATATATAAATATTAGACAAGATATTTTACACTGTGTTTTATATAATTTTCAAATATTTTAGAATGTACTCTGTACTATTTTGTATAAAAGAATTTTTATTTGTTACTGTAAAGTTGATACCAAGTATGATTTATCTTTAGCAAATTGTTTTTATATAATTTCATACTATGTATATATATGTATGCGTTAAAATTTCTTGTACCGTTATACGTATTTCTTTGATTTGGTTTCAGAAAAGTAATTAAAAATATTCCAGCGCATCCCGAATCAAATCTTATGTACGTTCGTTATCTTCTTATTTATTGTCTTTGGAGAAAGGTAAATAGCGATATGGCCGTGAAAAGTCAAATTACCACAACCGCAATTGCCTCACTGGGAGCACCACCAACTGCTTTCCCACCGTGCGTGTTAGAAGATGTATTACCGAAAGTGCCAAAGTGTCAACCAAACTCAGCAAAATATCTAATGCAGCAGAAATTCGACGTAAGAAAATGTTGCGAATTATTTGTACAATTCTGTAGAGAAAGCAGAAGAAGTATATGGCAGGAAAAAAGCGAAAACACAACTATTACTCCAAGCTCATCCAAGAGGAATACTTCGCAACTGGTACAAATATTGCTATTATTTGCATGCTCTTTTTTTCATAAATATTGCGCGTTTAAATGTAGTCATTTAAAAATCATTTTCACATTACGTTGAGTGTTATGAAGTTTTACTTTTATACTGTGGTGATAATATAAAATATTATTTTTTTTATTTTATTATAATAAAGTATTCCTATATAGAAATATTATCTTTATGCGAATTATTCGTCTATATATTCGACTGTATTGTTGTGATCTTTTTATTATTCGTCTATATATTCGACTGTATTATTGTGATCTTTTTATTGTAATAATCAACAAATTTTTTGTCTTGAGTTTCTTTCTTATATTGAACAATGATACAAAAATTTAAAAATATCACTTTTTATAAATTTTTATAAATGCAATTGCGTCAATTGAAAAAATTCGCATGAAGGTAATAGTAGTTAATAAGAAAAAGTAATAAAGTTGTACATGTATTCCTAGTTGGTGACTACATCACGCGAAGACGAGAATTTCGGTCGTATCGAAACTAATTTTAATCTTGTCCCCTCAGATAAAGATTCACAAAACAGCTCTGTTTCTTCAGATAATTTGAAATCCACAAATTTAACAGAACAAACAAATGTTAAACCTTTAGGCACAATCTCTACAAATGTTTCAGTAACACGGACTATTTCTAAACCGATTAAACCAAAAGTGCTTCCTCGAAAGAAGGCTAAAAAATCGAATAAAATTGTAATTATTGATCTTACAACTGACATCGCTTTTGAAAGATGTATAAAGAAGAAGAGGAAGTCTAGAAAAGTCGTATGGCTGGAGGAAGCTAAGAAGAAATTCGATGCAAAGACGATAAAAGCATCGCAAAAGATTAAGAAACAACAAATAGCGGAAAATGTAAGCTCCGTGAAGAAAGTGACTCTCGGTCAGCAGTTAGAAGACTTACTTCAACCCGTACATGCCACAGAAAATACATGTTTGAAGAATGATTTGGGTACATCCATACAAGAGGCAAAATTGAACAGCGATAAAACAAAACATTTGGAAGTAGAACAAACATCGGTTATTAACGGTAACGCAGAATCTGAAAAACAATCGGTGGACGTGAACAGCAGTGACAAGAACAAAAACATTGGGATGCCCTGTACAGTCTCTTCTTCTGTAATCGTTGATAGACCACAGTCTAATAAATCTAAAGTTTCTACAAATTCATTATTGGATATTTCAAATGATACTAATAACGTTAGCAAATGTCACGATGTTAACGCTACTTCGGAAGCAAAGGCAGACGAGAAAATAAACGATAGATTTAATATACAGACTGTGATTAAACGACTGATAGAAAAAGATACTATGCCTGAAAGTGAAACACGTAAAAGAGTTGAAAGTTTACGGAAAATCTGTGATTTAGGAACGGAGCACTCTAAAACTGTAAATAGTCCTCTCGCGTTATGTGCCCAAGATGATTCCAAAGATGAAGATGATAGTTCTAATCGTAATGCTAACTATCCTAGTATAGCTAAAGATAAATTATCGCCGCATGTAATTTCGTCACTGGTACATACGCATCACAGGAATAACGAGAAGGACGAGACAACTGACGGAAAAACGGAGAATATCAGTAGCAAAGACAGGTGTACGCAGGATATTTGTAAGACGATAGACAATGAAACGCAGTGTTTGAGATCGACCAAAATCAATGGCGGATCAGGTAAAGGGGAGTCTGCGGTTTCGACCACGGCAGCTAAGACTCGTATCGTAACAACCGTAAGTAATGCGGAAGTATTGATAAGCGAGGCAACAGAATCCGAAAAGCTGCGGCCACCACGCGTTACTGCTGAAAATACAAAGCAACCAAAGGAGCCTGAATCTCAAGATAAATGTGTATCAGCGAGACACGATGTTGCAAATAATACCGTAAGACTTAGCGTAATGAATGGAGACCATTCTAATGTACAAACAGATTTAAAAGTTGGTATTTGCATCGAGGTAAGTGACGACGTAAGGGATAACAGATCCTCTAACCATAAAATCAGAGAAACTATTTTTGAAAACCGCGCAACCGATAAGAAGAATATTTCTAATATCGTCGACATGTCATTGTGTTCAAAGAAGGAAGTAGTCAATGGCGACAAAAGTATCGACTCGAAAACAAGCCACAAAGAAAGCGCGGAGATCAATTCCAACAGGAGCAACGGTGAAGAGCGTGCTGCGAAGAATCCAGTGAGAACATCTGTGCTGTGTACGAAGGTTGGGAGAGATCTTCGCAACTTCGACCAGTCGCGCAACCACAAAAAGGAAACGTACGGCAAGTCGTACAAGATATCACCCGTGAAGAATGTGCGAGATCCATCGGACAATAGATGCATCATTCAGGACTCGGAATTGCAGGATAACATAGACGGGCTTTCGTTATTGGCCAGCGTGTCTCAGCATGTATCTCATTTGAAGACCGAGCGTGAGCTGAAATGCGATCAAATCAAGGTCAAAGATTACGCGTCGTTGAGAAGCTCCCCTTACAATCAGTCCACCGACGATGACGAAGAAGCCGATGACGCCAACGACTTGTCGAGCACGGTCTCGCGGGTTTTGGCGAATCCATCTACCGAAGTGATTAACAGAATAGTTGGGATTTATCCGGAGGACACGTTGGATAAGGTAGCGCTTCATGTAGAAGTCACGTCGACGACTGACGTGAACCCCGACGGCAACAGTCCGAGCAACAGCGTTTCACGCGTCGTCGAGACCACCATCAACTACGAGACGGACACGTTATCCAACAACTTGAGCATAGCGGAGAGCAATGTGCAGTCGATCAAGGAGAATACAAATGTCATATTAAACGGGGAAACGGTCGTGCTGTTGAAGAAGTCTCCCAATAGCAATTTGTACACCATCAATAAAGCGTACGACGAGAGTCGTCTGGTGAAAGAGAAGAATTGGATGGTCCCGCCGGAAGATTGCGCATCGTTTGAGGTCGTTAACACGTCGGAGCACATTTCATTTAATTTGGATCTGCCCCAATATAAGGAACTGTCGTGCCAAGAAAATAAGTTCGGAAGGAACAACGGCATAAAGATCGAACCGGAAGAGGAAGGCAGCTTGATGAATATCGCGGAGATGAAGCCTTACGGTAAAAAGGGTCCTCTGCCGGGCGACGTGTTACCCGCGACGTCGCAGATTTATCAGGACACGAATGTTGCGAGTGTAAGCATCAGCAAGTCGGTCGACAAGCGGAAGTCCAAATCCATCCTCGCTTACAGGCAGAACATTAAGCAGGAATTCAACAGCCACATCACGCCGAACTGCGGTATACAGGGCTGCAACGGGATACACTCGCACGAGGTGATTGATCCGCAACATTCGTTACATATCCCGGTCACTCATCCCACGACGATACCGTCGATTTACGGCAACTGCGCCGCCGGCACTGACCTGTGTATGCCGTATCACAAGCACTGCACCTCCGTGTCGTGTAGTTTACAAATTAATTCTACTACTTCGCTCCATTCCCACACGAAATCCGCCAATTCATGCGGCAGGTCGCACTGCTCGTGCCTCAACTGCACGTACGACATAGTCACGCATTGTAGACAGTGTATACACCCCGCCACGGACTCGCACGTGTCTTGTATCGAAAGTAATTCTTATTTTTTGCCCGCACATTCGTCAGTACAAACGTCCGCCGTCCAAGAGCACGATAGGACAAAAAGCGAAGCGGTAATAGGTAAATTGTATGACGATCAGATATTATGTAAGATAGAGCAGAGAGTACTACAGAATAATACGTTGGAGAAGCTGGACGTGCAACGCGAGCCGGAGAAGTTGTTTAAGCAGGACGTGGAGAACAAGTTGCCGTTGAAGAAAAGGCTAAAAGCCATGATGTCTATGGCGTATGAGGAGGTGCCCATCAAAGCGGAGAAGTTGGTCAACTATCCTGCAATTCGCATGATGTCCATAGCCGCCTTAGAGGCGGTAGATGGCGCGCACAAGCATCCCTCGCAGATCATCAAGTCGACGTACGAACTGTCTCCTAACGAAGAGGACGGTCCGCATGGCAGCTATCATTTCAACTCAAACGTAGTACGGAGAGATTATTATAAGGATATGCACATCTCCAATGCACATCATAATCTTACGAAGGAAAGTACAAGAAGCCACGAGCGCCAATTCCGATCGGCCGGTGATCAGTCTAATGCAGTGTGCCTAGAGACTTGCCAGGATAGGACGTTTAATACATCCGCGCAGCGCAGAGACGTGACGGTGATGAATCCGACGTCTATGAAACGTATAACGACCGAGACGATGGAGCAGGACGGTGCGTGCAAGAAGCCGAAGAAAACGCAGTCATCTATTAGACAAACGAGAAGCTCAAAGAGAAACGTTCCTAAGGTAAATTATTGTTACACCGATGTTGATCCAGAATGGAATCCGTCCGGTGAGTCAAAACGAAGACGCAAGAAGACTAGTCGATGATCGATACTATTTCATTACGAAAAGTCACTGCTGTAAAAAAAAAGAAAAGGAAAGAAACAGCGAACGTATAAAATCTGTACAGCGGGCAAATGTGTTCTTCGAAGCTGTGGCACTGTAAATCTGTAAATACATGTACAAAGCACAAGTGAAAATAACTCGTCCTAGAGGAAGATCTAGAAATAGACCGTTCAGCGTGTTCAAGATTAGCGTCAGTGAAGAGTTAGATTAGCTACATAGAATACCTCCGCATAAAATATTTTTGATGTTTGGTTAGATATCGCTAGGCAAGCCGTAGAGAATTTTATTCCGTTAAATATCATCTCTACCTTGCGAAACTGTACACTACTATAAGGCTTTGTAAGATATTAAATTTAAACTTTAATGTTTTTCCTATCGTCACGGTTGCAACGACGTCGCGAACGATAGTTTTCCCGAATAAGTTCTTTTGAATTCTTGTAAAGTAAGATGAAAATTTCTGTATAATATTCTCCGCGTATAAATATGTATATATACATATGTACATATATAACCAATGCCAAACACAAACTTACGGAAACGTATTTTGAAGTAATATCATTTTTGAGGTAAGGTTGCTCTGGCTTTTATATTAAAATAGTTTATTATTTCGTTTACTGTCAGATAACAAATGAATCCAAACTTATGAGAGAAATATGTGTAAAGATATTGCAGTCGTTATCGTTCAAATCATTTGCCGTGCGTTTGTCCAGCCTTTATTGTAGAGATACAATGCAGAAACGTTATTACTATATTATTTTATATTGCCTAAAAATATGTAGTTCATTGCGTGATAATAAATATGTGTGAATATATCTTTTACAGTTTCCTGAGGAAGACAAATTTAGATTCAGGAATGTAATACGACCAGGTTGACGATTGAAAGTTAAGAATGTATAAAATCCAAATTCCTTGAAAAACAGGATACACAATGTACCAGGAGCATGTTTGCATAGGTAATTCTACAGTGATTACATATATACGTAGATTTGTACGATAAATATCTAACAACAAGACTTAGATAACTAGACTTTGTAGTTATGGTGTTAATTAATTGTTAGGAGTCTTTGTTGGTTTCATAGATTCGCGCAAAAACACTTCATACTTTTATAGCACATGTCTTTTATTTCAGATTAATTACCCACTTATACTTGAGTAACTTCGGGCAAGTGTTTAATGCGAGCACATAATGTCAATAAATTCGCCAAATGGTGCAAAATTGTTTGTATTGCCGTACAATTATAGAAACTGGAAATGTTTAATTTCTTCCACTTTGTAATCTGTCCTCTTATTATATATAGAGACGCAGCCCTATATTATATATCGGAAAAAAGCTATTATTTAATGTAAACTTACATACATACATACATACATACAAGTACCTATCAAAACAAGTAGAGTAGCTAGTCAGCTGATTCGTAATAACAAAAGAACTTCAGGTCCCAATGAAAAAGGAGAGATAGTATGCTACGTAATTGAAAGTATCCCATATATTTTTCTTGTAATACGAGTATCCATCTTTTGTTAAAGAAATACGCGAGGGCGCGGTATTCTAAAAATAAAATGACCTAATCGAGCTTGATAAATAAAATGAAAATACTGAGGCATGCAAAGAAAATGCACAATTTAGATATCGTATAGTTACCAAGATAGAAAAGCTTTACAACTAGCAGGCATCGTATAGCTTGTTCCTACGTAATTACTCAGTATTTTCCGTTCATACGATATGTCTGGAATCTTGCTTTAAGAACTGATTAACATTAATATATAGCATTTAACTAAATTATATTAAACGTTTCTCTCGCGATTGTGCGAGGTAAATTTTATTTTTTTATTTTTTTCGGAACAGTCGATATATATATAATTTTTTAAATGCTGTATATTACACCATATATATGGTCTTCTCATGGAAACATTGCTCACGCTCACATTGAATTGTATACTTATATCCTATGTTAATGATTTTCAGAGCATCTATCACTATTAAACTCTGTTTTTGTTATAATGTGTATCTGATCTGAGCAAATTAAGTCATATGCAGTCCCTGTGTTAAACCTGAACCAGTCAGCATCACTATTATTCTTATACGAATGTCCCAATTATGTTTGATTATTTCGAGATAGGTTTGGTTCGAGTAATGCATAACTTCAGTGCCATATCCCTATACCTGATCTCATATCTGTGATCATTAGCTAAGCAGTAGCTAACATTTTGTTGTACAAAAAGGAAATGTACCTTGTTAAGTAGTCTACTCGGTAGATTACTTGTCATTGTCACACTTGTCATTGTTATACACTTTATTCGTCTTCGTCTATAAAACTGATTGTAGTTAGAAAATCTTTAATTGTAGAACGCTCTATACCTCTTACGTTTTTACCGCATCGCTATTCTCTTATTTCCGCGCGAGAGTTTTAAAAACCGCTATTATATTTCCCAAACTTGACTGACAAAGGCGCGTAAAAATGTCCTTTTCATTACCGAAATGTCTCTTATTGTTATTATTTATTTATTAATTTACAATGCGATAAGTCTGATAGGCTTAAGTTTAACACAAGTAAATTTATTAAGTTACTATAGCTATATAAATAATTAGTTCGTCAAAATTGCCAAAAGTCTTCATACATATGGATTAAATATAAATAGATCATTAATCATAAATAAAAAAAATTATTGTAACGCATAAAGCATTTATTAAGGAAAGTCTAACATCTTAAACATTAATCGAGTTAGTATAGTAAAGTACTTTACATCAGATGCCTCATTAATTCGTGTTCATAAAAAAATTCAGTATTGTGTATGCGTAGAACATCTTTTTCGTAATGATAAATAAACCTGTATTTACCTATACATTTGTACATTATGTGCATTACATGAAGTATCGACTGCATAAGATCGAGGTAAATATACTGCATGTGGAAATACTAATATATTTACCTCTGTTATATATTCATCGGAACACTATTAGATTCACCGCTATATCTACGAAATAAGGATAGAAATGTTAGAAACTCTCAACAGGGTAAACATTAATATGCTTTTGATGCTTGCAGCATCGGGTTCATTATATTTTACATAAGTATGTATACTTACTACTCTAACTAAAAATAGAATATATAGTATACCTCTGAACAGGGTAAAAGCGAAAACTACTCCGCAGGCTTATGTCCATTAGTACACGTAATAACAGATATATCCCTTCATTAAAGATATTATTTTATAGGGTGTACTATTGGATTAATTCCTCTCTCCATTTTTAGTAAAGCGTAAGTTCATTAATATCGTACTTGTCCGAGACTTGTAAATATATTTTTATGTACACGTTGATCATACCTAATACGTTGACGAAGCTGTCGCACTGCAGTTATTTTTCCAAAAGATTGCAAAATTATTCAAATTTTAAACAGATGTTCGGTTTGGACACACGTATGTTCCATTCTACGTTCTACAACAGATAATGAACGAATATCTGCGAACTAAATATACATAGTGAAGAAAAATTGTATTGAACGCTTTAAAAATGGTAGCAGTAATTTAATGATCTACATATAAATACCAAATTCTGCATTTTAACGAAGAGTAGCGTGCTTCGTTCTACATAGATTACCCCAATTGTCTCACAGAGCTAAACACCGAGTTCTTGAATTGATTTTGTACAATTGCGCGTAATAAACGAATAACTCGAATATATTAAAAATTGAACTTTTATTCTCTTTTTCAGTCTCTGCATTGTTGTACATCGTGGATTAACTTATGATAATACAATATTTTTACACGCAGAACGCAACCAATATTGTACGAGAAAATTGATCAATAATATACGCAGATCTACAATTGTTGAACTTACATGAGGATTTATGAACAACTTCACGTGAGAGATATATTAGTGTTTCGTGAAGATCTGAAATCGATCAAACTTAAAACTATATTAAATTATTCACTTAAAGCATTCGCTCTGCATCTTTATTAATCTAACTAGATATTTTAGTACGTTTTACGTGGTATAGGTGGCAAATGAACGAATATATGTGTTGAAAACGTGTGGAAAGGTCGATCGGAACATATTCAGCTTTCAATTTTTTTCATTGATACTTTACAAATGTAACTCTTGTATAATTCGATAGATAATTCCGTGCGGGTTCACATTATATCACCGATCTCTCCCACATATAACTTGATTTCCCTTTTAACAGATTCGATAAAAATTCTTTGCGCAATATATATATATATATATATATATATATATATGTATATATATATATATAAATGCAGTATATGTACACTTTCTATTGAATGGCGTTTTAAAAAAAAGTGCAGTTTTATGTGATCCTAGATCTAAAGAGTGAGAGAATACAAAAAGATAACATTTTATTACTATTAAATTCGCAAAAAGAAGAATAGAACACTAGGTTTACATCTTCAACGGATGACATGTACATTCAACAAAAATATGTACGATATAACGCAATAAAGAGAAACAGTTTTAAAGCTTCCATTATACCATCCCCGAGAATAAATGAAATCATTACTATGTAAGATAACATTGATCCTATGGCAAAGCAGTATTGCTTGTGTGAAGGTTGATGTTTACTTATTACTTATTATGTGTAATTTTATTTAGCTCTGCACACACTATATCGAAGTATATATTCGACTGCAATTTTTGGGAGTTACACTCATCAGGGGGCATTGTGTCTATTCGCACGAAGCTAATAAAAATATCCCAAATAAATTCTGTTCTAGGGGAAACGTATTTCATTTATTTACTATCTACTGGGGATATAAACTTTAAACTATGCAGTTCTTTTGTGTAAGTTCTATACTATGTTACTTCTTTTAAAATATAAAGTGAATCATATTTAAAGGTGGAGCACAATATTGTGTTACGATAAATATAAAATATCATTTATATTCTATAGGATGACTGCAAATTCTCATGCACGTTCCACTTAGACGAAGCATATGCTCGAATTTACAGTTGCTCTGTCTTGTATATACTCTTGTAATATGCAACTTTGGTAATATAAAATCTTTTCCTGTGCAACTTATACGCGCACGCACACATACGTACATTCACGATGACGCGATTTGAAATGACTCGTATCTATTTCGCAAACATTTACAAAGACATTTTTCTTTTTAACTTCGCCAGAAACATGAAATCCTAAGACATATTTGTACTCAATGTATCTTAAACGTTCAAATAACTTAACATAAGAAGAAAAAAGTCATCCTTACAGTTGTAATATATCAAACATGATACAATGTCTTTTCACTTTGTAAAAATTACTATCTAAAAATAAAAAGGAATGTGACTTGTATTTTTTGACTATACCTACGTCAATCATCTTACGTTATGACGTCAAGAGCGAGAAATTAGCGCAATTGTTGCAAGTTGTGTCAATTGCTTTTCATTGTTAAAACTGTGTTTATCTCAATATAATTTAACTCGATAAAGCGCGGGTCTCTAAAATATTAAAGAAATTTTGCTATAAACTATCTGCGGAAACTGCTGTGCGGAAACGTAAAATGATTTAGAAAGTTATGTCTGAATTGCTCTAGACTGTGACCTATATTGATAACTGCTGTGATAACTACTTCATGTTTCCATATATAAATTATTGGATGGAGAGAGAGCATAATTCCCGCCACATTTTAGAAACCTGTTTTAGCGAATTGCGCTCTTGCTGACGAGAAATCAGTCCGGTTTCAGTCTATCGCGCGTACATTCCTCACAATTTCTTTACTCGCCACGTTATAATCTGAAATGGTTTACGCAAGTATCGCCGAACTCTAAAATATTATTTAATACTAGAAGAACAATACTAACATTACATGTCAGCGGGATTTCTATCTACTTGTAAAAAATACGGTGAGGTATCACATAAAATCAGTCTACAATTAGATATCTTGATAGATGAATATACAGCGAACTAAGCACAAGTCAATAAAAAATGTCACAGGATTAATCTTTGTATAAAAAAAAAAAAAGAAAAAACCTCATCAACTTCATCGACTAGACACAATAAATAAAAATAAAATAGAATTGTCCCATGTCATGTTATCAAATTAAAATGGGATATTTTATGATAGCTAAAGTAAACATTGTACATATACTAAAATACACGATTTGGCTAAGATTCTTATACATTAGAATAAAGTGCAGTAAAAATAAATTACATAAGAGTAAATGCCTTTATTGCCAAATAGCAATAATCGCACACAATAAAGTGGGCAGAATACTCAGCAATTCAGTTTTATCTGCTGCTATATATTTCCTGGCTAATGCTTAAATTAGAGCTACCAAAGAAAAGCGCGGGAGATGGTGTACACTAGTTACACATAATATATGAAACTATCTGTAGCTAGTTCTGTAAAACCGTGAGTTGCCCGAGTTGTTCGGTATATATTGTGGTATATATGCAGAGTATATTAGCGTCAATAGTTAGTGTAATAACCACTAATTGTGTCTTGTCTTATCTAAAATTAAAATAAAATATTCTATTTTCTCTTAACTATGATAATGTATGGTAAAATTTTTTACTGTGATTATCCCTATTAAATCTACTTTCGTAATATAACAGTTCCCCAGAAATATAACTTTTACCAGTGTGGAGATGAAATTGCTAAAGTATTTCGTATACCTTTACCTTTTCAAAGCGTACTTCATTTGCGTTATTTACAATTATGTGACATTAAAACGCAACTGTATGACTTAACGCATATACTTAAAAAGAAAAAATCTGTCAGAAATACTTCTTAATCGTGTGGAAATGTAACGAAGCATAACTCAAAGAAGCTATGTCCGCACAGACTTCTGATCTCATCAGCTGAATAATTACACGCGTTGTAACAATCTTGTTGACGTTTCGAAGGAAACTGTATTTTACTGTATTGATAACTTGGGAGCTGTTCGGATGATAATAGAGTTTCTATATCATACGCTCAGAGATTTCGACTAATCGCCATCAAGTTACGAGACTTAGTGTGCATCATAGTAAATAGTTATTTACTAAATTCAGTAAATAGTTAAAAATTGACGACTTCTTCAGGATCATAAGCGATAATCGCGCTGTAATGAACAAATACAAACGGTAAACATAATTTCTTTATTACAATTAAACTTTGCGGTCCGATTTTATCGCGAAAACATTACTTAACTCGCTAAGGAGAGTTTGCAATAACAAGACAAGCAAAATATAACATGACGTTTTTCTTAAAAAATCTACTGTGTTTTATTTACCATTTTAGGTATTCATAGTCGGATATTATATTTATGACTATCTTAAGTTTATCTTTAGATACTCTGTAGCCAGTAAAATAACCCGTACAGCATCTGAAGATGAAGACGATCTTAAATATAAAATCTGACTATGAATATTGGTCATATACACAAAAAAAATGTTGGATAAGTGTCATAATTTTTCAACAAATCTTACTTTTTTAATATATTATGATTATTATATGATGACGTACTACTATATATGCGAGAATTTAAATCTTATTAATTTAAAAATAAAAATTATATTTACGTGTTAAAAAAATCGAACCACAAAAGATCGAAACACGTAAGAACTATATACATTATACTCACCAACTATTATTCACGTTTTATTATTCTCGTTCCTCTACATATAAACTCTGTAAATAAAATGAAAGATTAGTAACAAGCTTTATATATGAATATTAAAACATGCATGTCACATAATTTATAAATGAATAAAACTTAATCTATGTAAGAACCTTGATAGAAACAAATTATGAAATTATATAATATGGAAATTATGAAATGCTGCTTGCTTACATGAGATTTTGTTTTTCTTAATTATCTTCGAGCAGATGATTTGAATTTTACACGTAATACACTTTCTTTTATATAATATTACACTAATAACAAGATAATATTACTGTGAGGTTGTATATTAATATTATGTTTTAAGCATCGGAAAATAATAACTCTATGTATTAATCGAATATTATTTTCTGTAGAAAGTGCAATGCTTAACATCAACTGCTTATTTTTTATATAGTTTTTTTTTAAATTGCAACATTAAGATAAAATATAGCAAAAATATATATTTTACATTTATATATAGCACAAAACTGTATCTCAAATATCACATATATAATCACAGTCTTATATTCAATTTAATCTTTGATATGTATTATGTTTGTACTATGTAGTGCAATTTTCTCTTAGCTTAATTTATTAAATATATATTAATAATTAATAAATAAAAAGACTTCTCTAAAATTGCATTATAATACAAAGATGATTTGCATAATCTTCACTGATGTTACATCTTGACGTGTACAGTCTTCATGATACATTTATAGCAATTCTTAAATATTTTAAAATATAATATCAAAATATACATTTTTAGATATTACATTACCTTTCATCGTAGTAAGTAAAAGCTCTTTTTGAACACCATGATGGTTCAGAGAATAAACAACTCTGTTAGCTTCTAAAAGAAGCAAAACTATAGATGTGATCCTTTTTCTTCTGAGGTGTATCTTCGATAGGCGATAGTTGAGTACATCTGACAGTCTACTTCTTAATGATATTTATTAACTTATGGCCTATGGTTTCAGTTAATCTTATCGTGTTTTGGGCTTATTTAGATTTCCATTAAGATCGTTCAAAGACGTAAGTTTATATCTTATACTTGGGTGATGTTCAAGCAGAGTATATCTTCTTTATGATATTAAGCTTGTTGGCAGGTCTGGATGAGTACATTTGGAGAAGTATAAAATTCCTTAGAAAATCGACTAGATTCCCTCTTTCAAGACTCGAGATTTTTCCAGATGATCTCTTTCGAAAACATTAAAGTGCTTTGTCGAAACTGTTGCTATAGATCTTTTCTTCTTGGATGTATTTTCAATAGATTGCTTATACTTCATAGCATGTGTGTTTCCCAGTGATATTTAAAGATCTACGATCTCGATGCTTTAAATTATTCTTTTCCTTTTTAGAGGCTTCATTGAAAGGCCATCAAGGCATCATTCAAGGGCAAAAAAAAAATATATATATATATATATTTCACGTAATACGTTGGCGCAGAATCTTTCTTTGCGATAATTTGTTAGCAAATTTGATGGAATATCCTCGGAAGTGCAAGATCCATTCAACGATTGATTCTGCCTATGTCTCAGGATATGAAAGCCTTCAATATCTTTTTCGCAAACATAAGAACGCTTGGGTTAAGGCATCGTTACTTTTATTTTTTTAACTTATCAGGAAGAGTACCGAAATTGCACGGCTCCTTGAAACCTGGAAGTGCGACATTTGAATTAGTTAGTTAGTAGAGATGCTTGGCGTTATAGCGCGAGATTTATTTCGATTTACCGACGTAGATTTATCGAACTTCGCTGGTAATCACAAAAGGATGTAGTCGATATTTAATTGGAAGGCCACCGGGGTCTATACTACTACCAATAGTATCGTTTTGATTATTGTGTAGAATGTCGCTCTCATTTAAAAATATATGTATCTGCGTATATAGTGTATGTGATGAAAGTATTTGTCGTGTTCGTCACAAGATTCTCGACCCTGGCTCCGGTAAGCTGGGTATCCAATATTACTTGTCGCGACATTTATAAGATTTGCCGACGATCTTGAGCTTGAGAAGTCCCGAGAGAAGCCGCAGACAATGCAACGGCGAGAATGTAGCTTTCGTATCTTTTTATTTTTATCTTTTTATCATGTCTTCTGCATTTGTACTGCGTTCGGAGCGCAAGGATGGCCGAAGCGGAGACGAGGATTCAGGCGATTCAGGAGCAACTGTGAGCGAGAAAGATAGAAAGAGAAGAAGCGTGAAGGCTCTCGCTTCCTGTACATGATGTGGATCCGTTACTGCAGAGATTTTTGCCGGTACAATGTGGTTTTAAGATTGCCAGCGAGACGCGGGACCAAATATGCCGAATCCTGGTCGCGAGAAGGCAGAGAAGCCGCGAGAGTTTAGTCAACGTGCGCTTGAGTCGTAATCGAGCATCTTATTCTCTCGAATATCGGAAATCGAAAATTATACCAAGCACCAAGAGCAACTTGGCTGATACCAAGAAGTACTTGGCGCCCAGGATACCTTTTCGAATTGCTTGGGTGAAGTAGCTTTCCGATCGCCATCCGCGAAGAAGAATTCATGTTGCGCAGGTGGTTGGAGTTCTTGGTCATCTTTAAAGCCAGGAACGTCCGACAACACGTTGCAATACACATTGTCCAATTCGAACGGGGGCTGTTTCAATGACAGAAAGTCGGTGATGTCATCCGAAAACATATTTTCTTTCAAATCTTTCGATTCACCATTTAAATTGTCGCAATTCATTTGGGACATCAGTGAGGGCTGACGGAGAACATCGTCCAAAGTTTCCTCCAGACTTTCGATGTTATGCAGAAAACTGATGTTTTCCAATTCATCTATACAGTCAGTTTTCATTATCTCGTTGGCTTCTTTTGAATCAATGTCAAAAGAACTTATGTCGAATGCACAAGGCTCGGTGGAATGTAACCGATCATTCGACATCGAAGTATCGCAATTGCTTCCTCCTTGTTCCTCCCTCATCGTAGCCTCAGAATACTTTGGATCATTTCCGTAATCACTCGGTTTCATAGTCTCAAAATTAACATGCTGGCTGTCCAATAACGATCCCACTATCTGGTCTTCGATGAACGTAGTCGAGACGATGCACATGTCGTTGGAATTATCTAGACATTGCACTCGCTTTTCGCCGTCCATAGTTGCAGCCGATTCGCCGGTTTGATTCATAGCGTAAACGCATTTGTCGTGGTCGTTTAACATGTAGATCGCATTCAGATCGCAGGTCGATTTAATATCGTTTTCGTTATCGTTGAAGATATCGTGTAAAGCGTTGTGTGTCTTCATCGCGATGACATCGTTGTCGGTGCACACGAACGGCCTCTTCGTCGGTACACCAGTTGTATTGTCGTAATTGATGAGCGACATCGCGGAAGATTGTCGGAAAATATCTTCCAGAGTCTCACTTTGGATATTGTTCGAGAAGTAAATTATATTTGTGTCGCAGGCTGATTTGACGTCGTTTCCATCCTGGTTGAACGTAGTATGCAAGGCGTCTTGTGCCTTCGCCGCGATCATGTCGTTATTAGCAAATATAAATGGCTTACAATCAATTTTTGTACAACAGTTTGGACACTCATTGACTTGATGACATACTTTTTGTTTTATAATCTCCGTAATTTGCGAACTATGATCATTTATGGACTTCAATTTCTTTATCAGATGCTTAATGTCGTTCATGTCAACCGGCACTGAATTGCAACACTTGTGCGATTTTTGCATTGCGCTACAATTCGTGCTTGTCGGTAACTCCTGTTTAAAAGAAAGCTGATCTGCGATACTGCTTTGGCACGTTTTGAATAAAGGCATTGTCTCCATGGCACTGTCTTCCTGAGAAGTTAATGCTTCTTTACCCTGCATTATCGAATTGTTGTACGAATCATTTCCAGTCACTTGTGACAGCAGATAATTCTCCATCTTATTTTCCCGCAACAAGTCTGCTGTAACTTTAAACTCCTTAATATTTTGATCAACAAGTTTCGACATTTTCGAGTAGTACAAGTTATAATCGTGTTGCATTTCGTTCTCTTTCACAAATTCCGAGACGGAATTGCTTATTGGACTCTTTGTTATACTTGTATGTTCATTTTTCTGAAAGTTAATGCAGTTGATGTCTGGCATTGGTGTGATGCAGTTTAATGAAGATTTGCTATTGGTTGAAGCGCAACCTTGTGTACTATCGCTAACTTTGTTGTCAAAAGTAGGATTGCACTCTAAACGAACTTTGTCGTTGGAGCTTTTGTTGATATTATTAGAGCATGTTTGAGTATCGGCATCCATAAGTCGGCTCGAATCTTTGTTGATATGTTTTTGCAATTTATGTTTCTTTTTCATGATTTTCGAATATTCCAATTTTTGTTTAGTTTTCTTTCGTTTTACTTTATAAGGAACACTTATCTCATCATCTCCAGTTAAATCGATAATTATAGTTTTCTTGGGTTTTTTTCTCGTTTTCTTGAGTGATTTGAGACTTTTTGCTCCCTTCTTTTGTAAGTAAGTTCGATCCATAGACTTATTGCCATCAATGTCTGGTATGACATTACGGTTTTGCAAAGCACCTGAATGGTCTTTGTTCACTTCATGATTAGATGCATCTCCATTTGAATTGCTCTGACAAGATAGTGGATTTACTTGGTTCTTCTGGAAAAGTGTTATTTAACAAATGTAAAAATTTAAACGTGCAAATCATTTGCATTAAAATGTTACTAATGCGAAAATTAAAAAAAGAAAACAAAGCAAATTACCTGAGGCACTGAACAACTCTGATCAGGATTAATCGTTTTAATAGATTGTAAATCCGTAGAGTTATCCATATTGTCTTCAAATAGCAGAAAATGTTTATGACTCTGCTTTAAATCGAATAGATTTGATTGCAATAACCACAATGTTTCATTGTCTTGATCCGCGGGTCTGGGCACAAATTCTAACAATTCATCTCGCAATTTCGGCATGCGCAACCCTAGCAACATTACAGCTAACTTGTTAATTCTTCCTTTCCTGTCGTAATCTTCTGCCATTTTCTTCCACATTTTGAAGGCGAGTAAATATCTAACATAAGCTACATCGGTCATAGATGTCATCTTTGTTGTGAGATTAGTGAAACTCTTCCTGCATAGTGAAATAAATGATTTGTACATTCGTATCATTCCGATAATGTGTATTGCAGCATTTGTTCATGCTAATGCAATGTACAAAACAAAAATTTTACATACATGAACAGATGATCACAAATTTTCACATATCTGTCTGTAGCGTGTTTAATTCTAAGTAATACCCTGAAAATATGCTCTTCCGAGTTATCTGTAAGCAATTTAATATCAAATTTATAACAACTGTTCATCATTATAGTTTGCATTTGCAAGATGAATTCTATTAAGACTTACTTAAGTATATATACAATGCTGCAAGAATCTTTGCAGCAATTTTAGAGGAATCTTTAACGTAATTGGAACATCTTTTATCTGTTGAAGTTTTCAATTCTAGGTCTATATACATACTCAACAAAGCAGACATTCTATTCAAATATGAATTATTAGTTATGTCCTAAAGATAAAAAACGATTAATATTGTTGTTATATACACATTTGTCTATATACACATACATTTTTCACATCTCATTCTATAAAAGAACAAAACATAATTGAAAATAATAATACCTGTTTTATATCGAGCCAGTACAAGTGAAAGAATATTAACATGTTATTAATATGGTTCTTAATATTAATTATGTCACTGGACTTGACATTGCTCGCTGTCATGCTAGAAGTAATATTCCTGAAATAGCAAACATTATATATCTTTTAGCTTTAAATGCAACTATCAACTTCTATATGTATGTGTGTGTGTGTGTGTGTGTGTGTGTGTATAAACATAAAACTTTTACTTGTAAAACAATATAATTCAATCTCTCCATAGAAATACATTTAATATTTAAATATTAGATCTCTTATTTAGCAGAGAAATACATATCTAAACAACATTGTCTACATACTTGACATATATAACTTAGATCATTAGAAAATCCAAACTGATCAAAATGATCTTACTGTGTGTAGAGTAAAAGCGACCGTTCGAGATGTTGATAATTTCTACTTCCTATGGACGAACGTATAACTTTACTGAATTTAGGTAGCCATGGAAAGTCTTCTTCGATCGTGTTATTATCATTTACTACAGTATCTTCCAGCTGTTGATTTTTTAAACACTCCTTTCTACCTTTACTAGCCTCATATATAGAAGTTGTATCCATAATGATATCTTCTCCTGTAGTTTCCTTATGGCATAAATTCTCTGTAATTATTGTTTATGTCAGTATCATATCGAGTTCTCAATATTAACTGATAAAGTAGATACATTACTTGATGAATCCTTATTTTGCAATGGCTCAAACAGTGAAGTAAGAAAACTCGTGATGCGTGTATCTTGCTTAGGTCATGTTATACCTATTATTACAGTGAATTCTAAAAGTAAATTTCTGTTTACAATGTAACAAAATGTCCATGGCGGTAATAGTATAATGATTAAAAAATTGATAATAATATTCAATATTTTCAACCTGTACATTTACCTGTACATTTTGTTGTTGAACATTATAATTGATTTCCTGCATAAATATTTTACTTTACTCGATATTAATAGAAAAAGGCATATTATTACTGATACTATTATAATTACAAACATGTAAATACTGAGAATATAGTTAATTAGTAACTTTTTCTTGTTGTGTACATAGCAAAGAGAAGAATTTGCATCTATAAAGTTCAAATTTGCTGGATAATCATTCAAAAATTTCTAAATATCACTTAGTAACATGCATGAACAATGAATTCTTTAGTTGTTGATTAATATAATAATATAATAATACAATACATATAAAATACATAAATAAAATATATAAAGCTGTAAAGCAGCTTTGCTGTATAATATAATAAGAACTTATAGAACATGTAATAAATTATTGAATAACTCATATTGTTAAAATAAAAGTGATAAGCAACGAACATATTGAATGACAGTATAGTGCTTTTACAAAAAAAAAAAAGCATGCGGGACGCTCCCACGGCTAGAGAGGGGCGGGTTGTGGGAGAGGGAGAGAGACAGAGAAAAAAAGAGGGAGATAGATAGACAGCAGAGATACAGGCAACAGACAAGGAAACAGTTTCGATCTCGATCGAGGAAGGCAAGCGTTTATCTTACAGTGCTTATCGCCTTAACGACAATCTGCCGTGCGTGCTGTCGCGCATTCTTCGCATGTCGACACACTCCCAAGCGTTCTTCGCGTGTCGCAACTCCCGCACAACTGGCTGCTAACGTGTGGGAGATCTCTCTTCTGCGACGGAAACGAGTTCTCTTCGGAATTGCATTAGGATCGCAGTGCGCCCCCCGTCACCCTTCGTGTCCGCTCGTGGTTATCGCGCGCACCGATCGACGGAGCTAAATCGGGATCCCGTAGGACCGCGGCATCCTCGCAACTCCGCGATTATTAGACACGCATATACCTAACGCGTTTTTCACGCTCGTTGCGCCGCGTCGTTCATCGCCGAACATCACATCATATCGCATCGCGCCGCGCCGCGCCGTCTGCCGGCCGAAGTTCGCAACATGCTTCGCTCGCTCCTTCGCTCACTCCGTACGCGAGGAGCACGCACGTAACCCTCTCTTCATCGCTCCGACGACGGTTGCGCTGCGCGCGCGGTGAAACGCGACGCCTCGCGTCGTGTCTGCCGCGACGTCGCCGTGAGCGTAGGCCGCCAATGAGCTTGCGCAAAGCGACCCTTTTCCTGCCAGGTGCGTACTAATTTTCGACTCTGTCACAGCTACGGCAGAGCGCAGGATTCTCGCGGAAGAGGTGCGAACTCTACCAGAAATACATATTTTATCTCGCCTGAAGAAGTACACGACGATACACGATGCACCTCGTCCGTGGACTGGTGTGATAACACATAAGGACTCAGTGATGCATAATCGCACATCGAACATCCGATCACTTGTCTCTGAAGAAGGAAGTTTCGCTGTCCTCGTGAGGACTCTGTATGTGAGAGAAGATTAGAACAAACAGCCAGCCACTTTCGCTTCGCTCAGATGACGAATGCAACGATGGAACTGAGGAACGGAGTCGTCGACTATTTTTCCGTGACGTATCGGAGAGACCTGAAAGGCGTACCCGAGATATGCGAGCGCCCTCGTTGAATTCACGCTGAAATTACTACGAGTAAGTATGTCGCAGGAAAGTTCGGCTGCTTTAGTCGCTCTCGACATTCCGATTCAACAATGGACCTGAACGACACATCTCGCGCAATATCATCATCGTCATCCCTTGGTTCATACGCCCCTGATCTTGACCGAGGTACTCCCACCATCGACTGCTCAGCGGTGCACGGCGTCGCGCGAGCTTCTCAGCTAGGTTGCCCGGCAGCGGCCGAGCACGTATGTGACATGGCGTCCGGGTAGAAAGAAAGTTAACTGCTAAATAAGCGTTAATGTTGTTTTCATGACATTGACCGAGCGAAAAGGGAACATCCGAGGCCGCGAATTTCCCACAGACACTGGCATTGATGGTAATGCATGGGAGGAAACCGCAAAGGATCAGCGATGGGTAGGGCTCTGCCGTCAAATACCCGATCCTGACACACAACCAACCTCATTCTCTCTCTCTCTTCCTCCGTTTCCGTCTCTTTCTCTCTTGGTCCTCTCACCTCTCTTTCTCTCTCTCTCTCTTTCTCTCTTTCCCTCTTTCCACATCAACTCACTTCACCTCGTCTCGTCACCCGACGTCCGTCCATTCGTCCGTACGACCCGCTCGACCGCACACACGCACCGCCACACTGCCACTCTACCGCTCCGCGGCGCGACGAACTTCCACGATGGGTATCCGTTCGGGTGCAGTTCCTCGTGGAAACGATCGCGACGGCGGACAACGCGCGACAACCTCCTTCACTCACAACCCGTTGTCTTATGATTCCAGGTACTACGAAAAACATCAGGCCCATCCCTATCAGGTAAATAATAGCCGCCGTCGACGAAGCGTTTGCTGTCGCTGAGCACGGAAGGAAGGGAGGGGGGAGGGATGGGAGACTGTCGCATCCATGGGCAACTTCACGTCGTCGTGTAGCCGTGACTATCGCGCGCTTTCGCGGCCGCGATTACGCGCCGTCATCGTCGTCGTCGTCGTCGCATGTGTGTATATAACTCGTAGAGGAAGATGGGATCGTCTCGGAATTTCTCGCGTGCGGAACGCCACAGAACGGAGCTCGTGCGGCGGCGGCACTCCGTGTAGCATTCCACAGTCCGCAGCGTTCATTTCTCGGCTGTCGTCAGGTCGCGCCTGATACACGTATACGCGAGTCCTTCCGCTGTCACATTCCCGCGGGAGAAACGCGGAGTCGAACGCGAGTAGAATCGATAACCAGTTGCCCTGCGACGATCTCGGGCGAGCTAACACCTCGGACATATTTACCGCTCACTCTCTTGTTGTCGCCTGCATCTCCAGGGAACTCCGCTTTTACGTGGTGCTCGCGTCGTGTGACTTCGCGTCGGTTCTCGCCTACGTTGCGTACGTACATCTCTCGGTCCCGAGGTAAATGATCACACTTCGCCAGGGTAGAGCGTCGTTGTCTCGTTACCAAGAGTAATACATTCGCGATTAACTTACATACAAAAAATCACTGACAATTTGGTATATATTGAGCGTAAGACTCTGTTCGCGGGGAATTAAGGATGCGTTCGATGAGCTTGGTAGGCAAAAGGCATTCGGATTTGACAAGTGATGCTCTGGCAAACATTGCTCTACCGTCGGGTATGTGTTCGTACCATCGAACACATTGTCGCAAAGCTAATAATTATGTCGAGGTACTTCCAGTAAATTTGTGCTATATAATTATAGTTGTCTTAGAGTTGTCCATAGTTTTCATTGATTGAGCGTGGTGTGTTGTCCTTGAGCGTACATCATTTATGTCGGATAAAATGGGTGATTATGCATGCACAATTTCATCTCACCTGTTCATTTTGACTTACACCATGCGAAGAACGGTCATTCATTACGATATCGTCGATTTTTTGCGCTAACGCGAAATAACTACCTACCTGTCTTGTAAACATAACCTCACTTTCCGAAAAATCAATAATTTATTACAGCAGCTAAAAGGCCTCAAAGATGTACAAATACCATTTTTGTGTGAACCCTGATTCAGTTTTGACTCTTGTTTTGACGACTTTTGCAATGTTCCCATCGATATTCAACTAGGAATTACAATTAATGTCATATTCTTGAAGTCATAGCAACTTCTTTGTACTTAGGAAAGTCTGGTCCTCCCAATCTTCTAGAGGCAAATATCTTCAAATATTTGCCTTTAAGAGACACAACATTGTCATTTAATATTTATTTGTTACTACTATTATTAAAATATAATTCTTTTAGTATTCTGGGATATAGGTCTTTTTAAATACAAGTCAATACAAGTATAACTTACTAAACTTTCCTACAATTTGTGATCCTGCATATTGTATATAAAGTTGAAACTTATATACATATTAAGTAACATTTCTATCAATAACTTCATGTTAAAAGACATTCTTCGTTTCCTTGGCAAATTATCTGACAGTGTGATTAGCTGATATATTATTTTGTAACTTTTTATTTACATAGCTAATATAATCTGATTGCAGAACGCAAAATACAGCAGTTCTAAGGGTGGCTACTCTTCCTCAACCACATCATCAGACAGTCGCTACGAAGGACGTATGCGTGATTCTCCAAATGGTAACTCTTACAGTCCAGCCTGCAGCTTGGGAATGGGTATGGGGACGGACCGGGACAGCCCACGGAATTACACATCCAAGCCTCTTTACAAGAAGGAGAGAGAAAATAGAGACTATAAATTATCCTCCTCTAGGGACAAGTATTCCGGTAAATAATTTTCATTCTCTGTCTTTTTTGACAATTTGAATGGAAAAAATTCTGTCACATTGCAAACGCACAGCATATGTTTATAAATATCTTATTGGATCTATAAACAATATGTAATACACAGATGTATAGATAAATAACATTGTTATCATATAAAGTAACCATGTAAAAACTCTTCTTTCCTTTGTTTGGAGCTTTAGCTTTTCTTCTTTCTACAGTATAAAAACGAAATCGTCTCTTAACATTTTCAGCTGTAACATGCTTGCTTGCATATGTGTAGATTGTGCACGATCCCCAAAAGACAAGAGAAGCCGTGAAAGCAGGGATTCAGAACACAGGACCAACCACGATAGGAGTAGTGGAGATGTAAGTTTGTTTGATATTCATGTATAGCTTGATTACTGGAAGAATTTAATTACAATAATTGAAAGTGTTATAGCTGTTTAGAATTTCTTTAGAATAATAGAAAATAGAAAGCAATTGAGTGATTGTATTTTTGTGAATGTTATGGAAGCCTTATTTTTTTTATTTGCTTTTACTCTAATATAATATAATATAAATTAATTAAATCACATAATGAATAATATATTTTGTAACGGAAAATGTGTGAAACTAATACAAAAGAGAAGAAACTCTCCTGAGAAAATTTTCAACTTATGATCAATTGTGAATATATAATATGAAATTGATAAATTTGAATTATGAAAGATAGATATTCATTTCTCTAGTATGTAAATATATAGTCTTATTTTTGTCAAAGACTACTTATTATATATAAACGGACTGTCAGATAATTTGCAAGTGTCACAGTCTTAAAATAACGACAATACTGACAAATTTACTTATAATCTTTCAATGAAATGAATTTAATGCACATTATGACAGTATTGCATGTCTTTATCAGGTTAGTTACAACTTCTTGGATAAATAATCTTAAAAATAATAATGTCTGTTCATGTTCCTATAGATCTTACATCCCATAAAGTTATCATCAAATTCATCAAGAGAATCTTCATCTCAGAGAAAACCAGCACACAATTCCTGTCAGGTCAGTGTACTATAATTTCATTTAAACTAGTATATTAGTCAAATTCTACAAGATTTAAATATACAAATATCAGACACAAAACAATCTTTCTAATTTATTATGTAAATATTATTTCATTATTGCACATATATATTCATCTATCATGATTAGTGTGAATTTATTGAATGCATTCGTAAAATTATATTAAAACCAACATCATATGTGCAACTGAAATATTTATTATATATATATATATATATATATATATATATATATATATATATATATATATATATATATATTAATTTATTATTTTAAAGAAAAAACTACGAATTTGTGTCTAGACCAGGAGTATATTGAAGTGTGTAATAATATATTAATCCCAAGAATATGGATGAATATAGTTTCAACTTTTTGAACAAGTTTTGGAATTGATGCAAATATTCTCCATCTATTCAATCTATACCGGAAATTTTAGAACAGTCTGTTTAGGATAAACGTGGTGATGAGCGAGGAAGTACAATGGAGCGTACAGCCAGGGTTGGCGATTGGTCGGAACACATGAGTTCTTCTGGAAAGAAGTATTACTATAATTGCAAAACGGAAGTTTCTCAATGGGAAAAACCACGAGAATGGATCAATCGGATAGATAATCGTCAACGGCAGTCTAGTGACTACTCTTCTAGGTCAAGTACGTCTAAATTTTTTGAATTATCAGATATAATATGCGAAAAATGCTAAGTATGAAGTAATTGTATGAAAGAAATATAAGTTTTTTCTCTCTCTCTCTATTGAAATAAGAGATAGATTAATAAATTAGGCTTTTTTGCTTGAAGTCTTATATTAACTAAAGTGACGAGAATATAATCTGTAAGAGCCAAATCACGATTGTTTGATGCAAATACCATATATTAAATTATTCGTCGAAAAATCTTATTGTTTGAATAAGTCATGACGTACGAATATTTTCCTGGACTTTGGACCAATACTAAAGTGATGAATCTACCTTCCTTATTTTAATCCTTTGCAACTATAGTCCAGGCATTACATCTCCAAGCCAAAACATGCTACGATTGCTAAGAGTTAGTAGCTTAGATATTTATAATAAAAAATAGTCTTTTTTGTGAATTTTGCTAAATTTTCTTATTTTCATTAGAATTTAGAGTATTTCATTGCCATTATATAGTTCAAAAGTTCTTTTTCACTGAACTAGTGTACACTTGGAACTTAAAAAAAAAACAAGTATACAGTTGAGACTTAGTGGAAAAAAAGAGAAGGAAATTAGTGCAAGTTAATACAGAGAGTGTAGCGAAAGAGAATAGACAAAGTGATAATTTGAGACATCTTTCAAGAATTAAGGCTCCTGGCCCCTCGTATTGTCTATCTCTTTTTAATGACATCAGAAGCGAGAAAATATATGCTAAAAATTCTTGCGAAATACATTAAAATAAAAATATATATCCATAAAGTAGATACTTACAATCGATTAAACAAATTTGTAAGATATTCCGTGTACTCCCCTTTTGCTCTAACAATCAATAATTTGTCGTAAATTAACGTGACATACAATTCATCTTCTTAATCTATTTCTTCGCTTATTTCTATTCAGAGTAATTTACAATAAATTATTGATTGTTAGAGCAAAAGGGAAGTGCACGGAATATCTTATAAATTTGTTTAATCAATTGCAAGTGTTACTTTATGGATATATATTTTTATTTCAACGTATTTCGTAAGAATTTTTAGCATGCATTTTTTCGCTTCTGACGTCATTAAAAAAGAGATAGACAATGTGAGAGTTCAGGAGCCTTAAGAAAGATAACATTAGATTATATTATTGTTAACTTAAAACTCTTGCGTTCTCGCATCATCCATCTTAATTTGCTGTAAATTAACGCATGACAAAATATATATGTTTAACCTATCTCTTCGCATAATTCTGTCATGTTAATTTACAATATATTGTTAGAACAAAAGGATAGTGTTTGAACTATTTTATAGATCTGCTCAATTGATCGCAAGTGTCGCTTTATGGATATATCCTTTAATTTTAACGTATTTTGCAAGGATTTTTAGCATGCGTTTCTTCGTTTCTAACGTCATTAAAAAAAAGGTGGACGGTGCGAACACAGGAACTTTAACTGATAACATTTCTGAAGTTTCTTGACGGATTTTATAGGTTTGTTCTTTTGAACTAGGTTGCACGTTTATTTTTAAAACGAATCAGGTGTACAACCGAAACAAGCATATAAGCATTGAAGGAAAAGAAGATAAAGTTTCAATTGAAAAGAACAAGCCTCTATTGTCGTATACATGAAACGTGTAAAACCCTTCACTATTTCTTATTTTTTTGGACAGGTCATGATAAACATTCCAACTCGCGATCAAATAGCAGTAGCAGTATGCGAGATGGTAAATCATCGCGACAGTCGGACAAACGAGAATATTGGAGTTCATGTGGTGGAAGTGGTGGTAGTAGTAGTAGAGATGACGTATCTGCAAGGGAGAGAGAAAGGGAAAGGGAAAAGGAACGGGAGAGAGAGCGAGAACGCGAACGGGAGAGAGAATCTACAAGAGAAGAAGTCGGAGTGGAGCGCCAAGCTCAGGATATGGATATCTCGCCAGGCGATTCTACACCCACTTCGGAGCCCTTAACATCCAGTGCTCACGATCCACTGCCACAGGGCCCTGTTCTCTTGGCCACTGGTATGTAGATTGCCGGAAATTTTCGGAAATTTGCGCTGTGTTTTCGATATGCAGGATCTTTTGAATATCACATCTTCAGCGTGAATGATTGATACATTGTGTGTTTGGTTACATAAAGCTTCTGGTTCCTCGTGAGAAAACGCACACTAAAAATTCTTGCGTGTCATTTTCAGATAAAAATATATTGAAAAAAACATTTCAAATCATTTGTACATACTTGTAAAATGTTCCGAAAACTATAATTTTCCTTGGACAGTCAATAAATAGCCGTAAAATTAACGTAACATACATTCTTCCTTTTTAATCTAACTATTCTCATGATTTTGTCACGTTGCTTTTATGGCTATTTATTGACTGTTAAAAGAAAAAGGATAATTTCTGGAACATTTTACAAGTATGATCAAGCAATCTGTTTTTTCATTCAAATATTTTTTTATTTGAAAATAGTATGCAAGAATTTTATTTCTCACTTCCGATGTTATGAACCAACATGACTACGGTGAATAACCGAGAGTCTTAATTTTTTCGAAATAAGGATCAAAGAAACTGGTAAATTTCTTTGAATTTCAAAGGTTCTTTAGATTCTCTCTCGTACATACATTTCCCACCATTTCTATTTCTTTCACCTCTAATTTCTAACGCTAATTAATCTTGATCTTGTTAGCATTACCTCGATTAACATCACATCCACCATCGACGGCGCAGGCGCCTGGAAAACTCAATTCACCTACGCAACAACAAGGGAATAGCAATGCACCAGGACCACCGGTGTCATTGGCAAGCCTCCCCAAGCTTCTGTCTCAAATCACGGGCAGCAAAGAACAACCCGATATCACGCCGCAAAAGGCGTTACAGACAATTCAAACAGCTATCTTGCTATCTCGACAAGTAAGAGAATAATTGTATAAAACGCGGATATTTTATTTAACTCTATAGATATTCAATAGAAGATAAATTAATAAAAACCATTCACTAATTGGGTGCAATAATTTAAATTTAACTGCCAAAAGATAAAATTGTTCGACGTGTCACATTTTATTTTAAAAAGAATTTTTGTTTTAATATTCTTGATTAAAATGCTAAAGTCATTAAAATTTAGAATGTATTTTAAATAAATTTAATGCTTATGATAAATTTGTAGGTATGTAAACTTATGAAATAGTTGAAATAACATTCACTTGAATGCAGTATATATTTTTCTGTGTGCACGCACAAACGTAACGCATACTCGTAACTTTATGTTTTTAATTATTTTTCTTACAGCAGTCCGTTAGTGGAGACCGAAATAATAGTGGAAACGATGTAATGGTCCCGCTAAAGGTTGACACAAGTGGCAATACTACTAGCGAGGGTCCACCAACGCCTACGCATTCAGAAACTCAAGATTGTATTGACGCGCGGAAATGTAAGTAATTACATTTTATGTAAATAAAATGTTTGATATTTTATGCTTGACGTATATTTGTTCTAATCCTACGAATATAAGTTAAAATTCATTCAGATAGTCAATTCGATCAAATTCAATACTTAACATAAAATGCAATATAATACATATGGAGCTTAACACAATATATGTAGTAAAAATAGTTATTTTAGGCTCCGTTTGGACAAAATTTTCCACTTGTTTTAACTTTTAGTTTCATCAAATTCACCAAATATATACGTAAATTCATATATATTTTGCGTCTATTTTTATAGTAACGAGTCCTGGGGGGACAAATTCTGGAGTTCAAGGTCTCAGTTCTTTACAAAGTTTGAGTACATTGGGTTCCCTTGGGAATCTGAGTAATACAGGAGGTTTGCAAGCGTTATCTAGAGTACAGCCTCCTTTAACACCTTCTTTAACACCGTCGCTCGCTAATCATTATCGGGAAGATTTAACGCAGCACGTGCGTGCCTTTCCCGCTGATATTCTCGAAAAACAGGTAGATAACTGATGTTGTCTCTTGATTTGTTCTTTTTAACTGAATTGGTGCAATAAGTTAGAATGAGACAAATATATTTTTTCTCACTCTAATTTATTACATCAGTTCAACAGTGCAGCTAAAAAGAACAAACCATCTGATACGACTTCCTGGTCTGGTAGATGACGTCTCACATGAAATAATTCGTATGTTCAGGCACAGAAACTTAGTGAGGAAGCACACACAATGAGCAGTTTGCAGTGTACGAGAGTGTCCGCAGAATTGAAAACGGCACGATCGATAGTGAGGCTGACAGAAATCCAGGCAACATTGCAGGAACAAAGGTGAGAGTTTTATTTTATATCTTGTTATCACGTAAATACATTGTAAAGTTTGTAAAATATCTATGTCTTTTATTATATTGTTCAATATCTTATTGAATTACTTGCTATTTTAGGATATTATTCCTCCGTCAACAAATTAAAACGCTGGAGGAGTTAAAATCCCAAAATTCCTTCATGTCTGATGATTCTTAGTGTAAGAAAAACTTTATAAAATAATTATAATTACAGTCTATAATTAATTCAAGCAAAAATAAAACATGGTTATTAATATTCTCATTAATATTGAATAATTAAGATTGTACCTAAATTATAATATCGTAATAGAAGTGATATAATAGCAAAAGAACATGGGCTGCTCAGAGAGGATCGGCTGTTAAATTCATCAGTCATTGAAGTCTTAACAATTAGTGAATTCACCTCTCTGAGAAGCACAGCAGGCCTATCCAAGTCGCAGACACAACACTACGTGAATAGAGAACGAATCGACTTTATCAGTTCAATGCAAATACTGAATTGTATATCTGGAAATTGTCCACATCGTCTTGTATTACCTATGTTATACGTGTCAATGTTTCATATCCCAAGATTAAGCGGCATTTTAACTAGTTGAAACATTTTCGTTGTAAATCTCGGAATAAAATTCGTGCCACAAGTTTTAATACAGTTTTTTATCGCCATATAGTCTCACTTACCTAATCTCCCGAATTTTCTCGTTTAACATCACTTTAGAGAACTTATATTAAACACGAGACGGGAATGTGTATGTTCTATATTCAGATTTGTGTTTGATCTCCAATCACTTTATTACAGGGTTTCTCAACATAGTAGAATGTATTGTCGTTGAGCAAGTATTGATATATTGTTATACATGCTCTCCTATTTACACATCGCATTAATTAAAAAGCATAGCAATGACGAAACCTTTAGATTAACTTAAATGGCCATTGTTTAATTTATAGTGTGTAAATAGCAAAATTGCAGAATGAGAGCGCGCGCGCGAGAAAGAAAGCGAGAGTGAGAGAGAGAGAGAGAGAGAGAGAGAGAGAGAGAGAGAGAGAGAGCGAAAGCGAAAGCGAGTACTATCATTTACAAATGAAAAGCAATTTTATGCATGGCGAGCTTTTTGAGTTAGTAAGAACAATTATTGTATCAAAATTGTGGATCTAAAATAAAAATATGCATTTTTATATTACACATAATTACAGAGAATTAATTTTTTTTATTTCATTCATAATACCCTATACAACTGTGTCAAATGATGAAACAATTACGTGTTTACGCGCTATCCGATACCCATAATATAATAGATCGAATAAACGTAATATTGTATATAGAATAATCAATAACAACCGCAGATCGTGTAATAGTTACTTAAGGAGCTATATATTGTTAAGGAATCCTTTAATGAGGTATTTCGAGCGTTTTACTGTAACTTATTTATTTGAGTGATATACTGCAAGGAGATGGAAGGAGCATTGAAACCATTCGCATTTTACTAAAAAAGAAATTGCGTATATCATACTGTGGAGATTCAACTGATCTTTTGAAATAGATTGTTACAATGATTTGCAAAGCGATATCTATATATGTATAACATATGTATACAATTCAGGGTTCGTAAACCACGAACATCATACAATAATTCACAGTGTGGGTTTCTTATTTTGTATATTTCTTTGAGGAACTGTCAAGGAGCAATCCTACTACTTACAGGAGATTAAAACAAAATAAAAGAGAACGTATTTATAAAATATTACACTTTATCTGAACATTAGGGACTGCAATCGAATTCGTATCCTAATGTCTGTCTCTAGATTATTTTTTGATCTAAAGGATTTTAGTATGGACCTGCACATTTCATTTTTGTTTCGCACGCACACTGGAGCAGAACGTTTTTTTTTAATAACGCTGATACATATACATGTGCATATGCTATAGTAAAATTCTTCAGTTCAAGCCGCTGTTTACTAAATGCCCTCCTACAGAAGTCACTTTTCTCTTCTAGATATAAAATAAAACTATATGACCCAAATTAACACCGTCGTTTTCTTTTTAATTAGTATTTGTTATATATCGTCTAATGGTGTATAATATAATTGTTACAGATAAACAGAGAGGATAGTATTAAGAATAGTATTCATAATAATGTTAATGTATCCTATCACGGTGTTTCTCAACACAAGCTCAAGTAGCTCTTGTTAAATATCACAAGCGCTACCTATTAAGGCAATGTCACCTTAATTCAATAAAGATATAGAATCAAAGAAGTAACCCTGGAGAGAGTTGATATTGAGATATAATTATTCCTTGCGCTTCTCTCTGGTCCACAAAAGAATTCTATTTTATTCTTTATATAGATTATTATTTTTATTGCGAGTATTATTAATGTCTTATCTACATATTTTGCGAAATCAAAGATATTTTATAATGTATCTAAAGGAAGAAATTGCAGCTTGCGGATTTCATGATATAATACACTTTCGGAGAATGTGATACTATCAAAGAACGAATATTTAATCGTCGTTAAGCGTATTTCGTCGATCCTTGTGCGAATAAAGATAGCTCTTCTTATGTTGATGCGCATTACATACTATAACAAACATTTCTTGAATTTTGTTCTGTCGATTCATCGGTTGAGAAACACCGATGCGTATTTTTCTTTCATATTATTAACTAGTGTTACATCATATGTATGAGAATGTACCGACATCCTCATAGCACCTGAAGCATACAGTGAACATTCTCCCATGTACATTTTATTTAATTACAGTCAGTCATTGGATTTATTTCATAACAAACTCCCTCATTTCTGAACTTCATCATTAGATAATTGCTTAATACATCATTCTCGATAGAATTGTTACAGATATTCAGAAAAATTCAGTACGATTGCATAATGTCTCCAATGGACTAAGATTATAATAAGGCCTCGGAACATTTGACATATTGTAACATCCTATGGCTCTCGTATAAACAAATATCGCATAAAAACAAATCTTGCAAACCTAAACGTTTTCATTTGACGTTTACATAAAAGAAATCTTTAAGATTAATTTTAGACTTAAAAAATTCAATTTAATAATATCTTGTATTTTTGCTCGTGCGAATAATATTATCAGCATTTTTATACACACACATGTATGTATATATACACACACACACATATATATATATATATATATATATATATATATATACACATACATACATACATAAAATACCACACTTCAATAATTTTCCGTTACGTAAATAAGACACACGTCTATGAAAATATTACAAAAAATATTGTCAGTCATCGGATGTTACAAATCTATTGTTGAACATTTTTAATGCAGTGCTCTTCAGACGTTTATGCGAACATATTACAATGGAGAGTATACAAAATGCTACAAAACAACTCCAATACAATTTGCTTTACAGTCGTTAATACATCTACGTTACACGTTCATTATGTATCAGTAAGGCCATATACGAAATTTAATACAAAGATACTACCTTTGCAGGCAGTATTCTCGATATATCGATTAATTTGGAAATTTGCCTATTCATAGACAAATGGACAACACAGCCTCAACAGAGAATGTTCACAGTGTAAGACAGCAGCACAGACATATCTCAGCGCAGCCTCCCTTTACCATTAATTACATTTTCGTGTTCTTTTTTTTTTGCAAATCGCATAAAACAAAGTCTCGTCGATCATAGTTACATCCAAAAGATCCTTTGTAGGTTTTTGGGTATGGGCTTGCTTAAAAACTAAAGTAATTTCATCTATGCGAATTAATTTTTAAGTCGGCGCTATTCATCGGTATATATGCTCAATTAGCATTACATATACCTGCATCACAGAGTTTTCTTCAAATTACCCATACACTAGCGTATATTACGTATTTAATCAACACACTGTTTACATCTTAAATGAGAAATACACCTACAAAGGGTATTTTGACAATGTTAAAAATATAAGTGTTCAACATAGAAACTAAATTATATGGATTTTTGTCTTGTAATAATGTATACAGAACTTAAAAAAAAACATTCCTTAGTGTCTACTTAACGTAAATATTACATAACAACGGATAAGCAACAATGCCTAACAAACTGCTTTGTACCTAAGTGTCTACTATGGCAGAAGATGGGTCATGTGCCGAGTTATTCTTGGCTACTGTCAAGTTTAAGCCAACATTATACACAACTACCCTAATCTTAAATAAGACGTGCTTGATTTAATAATGATTCGTTATAATCATTAATACACGCCATCTAACTACTTTCCGCTTTAGGGGCTTCTAAAAAGAGTAGTTTACAATATTTTTGTTGTAGTTCGGTTCGATGGATAAGTTAACATTATAAAATATATATAGCAATTGTAAAAATTTATTTCGAGTTGTATGTTGTGTTAAAATCAGAGACAAAAGTTTAAGCCAAAAAGTGCAAGATAAACTAAAACAATTTTGTTTGAGTGTTGCAACAGCAAATAATAACAGTAATTACCAGCAACTTGTGTAGAGAAAAATTATAAACATCCAATTGATGTCAGAAAGAAACTTTTTAGAAGCCCCTTAATAATTTACTTCCATTCAACATACTTCTCAAATTTATTTCACTCATTCTATGATAAAACACACAACATTATTATAATTTAATCCTATTAAAATGGCATTCAGTATATATTCTCTTATAGGATTATTTCATTCGATATATAAAAAAAATATACAATTTCGACTACTCAATGCAACCGTTCAGTAATCGTCAGTTTGTACTATCCGAATGCCATTTTTGTGTATATTACACTTTTCCTGGACTAGTTCTACAAAGATTGTAGGGCTGCCCACGGAATTCTAATTAAAATATAATTAATGTCTATATATATATAGTGGGACTTTATTGATATACAGTCAGTTCACAACGCTCGCAATGTCGAAGTTAACCAATTATCTTAGGCTGACATTTTACTGTCATAAACTCGCCGAGATGATCATTCGATTACGTATGGAGAATCGTATAACATCTCTCTTAAATATAATTAGCAAAATCATGCTATCAAATGTTACTCATACATATATACGAAGGATATGTGCATGAAAAAACAAATTCAACTTACACTATGCTGTATAATATGCAATTATATTGGGATCTCGAAAACTTTTTCCTGTTATCATATATATATTCGTCTCTTTAATGTAACTAATAATATGATATGATTTAAAGGGACAAATATAATAACAGTAGAAATCCCCATTCTTAAGCAACCGAATCAATATTCTGAAATATGTTAAGTGAATTAATTTCTAATTAGAGGGATTTTTTCTTTCCACTGTATTTTTATCGCTTAAAATCACGTTAACTTTCTCTAAAAAAAATAATTCATATATTGTAATGAAAAAAACTCAAATATAACCATTTAACGCGTCCTGTAAATAATGCTCAATAATCAAATTATGTTTATACATGTAACTTTTTGAAATCGCGTTTACTTGCAAGTAACAATGCTACGAGTTGTGACTGACTTATACTTACCTGAGCGGGTGTCAATCTCCCACTATTTCTTTTCTTTTATCTTCAATTGCACGTGCTGTGCTCATTATTTTTTTTCTTAATCGAGGTACTTTTCGACTTCGGCAAATATGTGTGTTATCTCGAGTACGTCATGTCGGTACATACGCATCGCGTCTGCTTTTGGGATAAGGTCTCAGTAATGCAACTGCATCACGACTTGTTTCTGGCTTCATGCCAACTCGACAATGTATATTATTCATTATTACTGTATAATTTAAATAATTTATAATTTACAGTTCCTGTAGAACACAAGTGGCTGTACGCAAGCATGTTCGGTTAGCGGATTATACTATATTACAAAGATGCTTGGTATATACCACCACACTGATGCGATCGGTTGACATATATGACAGAGTTTTCATTGTACCACCTTGTAACGCCTAACGGAGACATACGGAGATACATCCAAATACACGGATGCACAGACAGATGTAAGGACGCACCAGGATACATGCGCGAATGTTGTATATTGCATACTCTTTCTCTCTCTACCGCAAGCATCGTCGAAACGCTTTTTTGATTTTCCGCTGCACAGGCGCTGACTGAGGCGGTGCGCTGTAAAATAAGCAGAAGGCTATGTTTCCATATTTTGCACACACGCATATATACGCGACACATACACACATCAACCAGAAAGTCAGAAAATTCAATTTAGTATACTCACTTGAACGCTGTTGGCGCGCTTCCTTTCGTGAAGTTGAATGAAGGCCGGCTGTTGGGATCAAAAGCCACTGTGGGATTAGAACCGGGAGAACTAAAGTTGAATCCCCCAGTTGGCGTGGACGTGGTTGACTGTAACATTAATACATTATCAACAATATGACTTTATACGAAAATACGTCAGGCGACTCTTATTTAAAAAAAGTAAATTAAAAGCTCCTTGATATTCGATCACAAAAGGAGAACAATAGGGCATACGAGAATTTACGCACAGATCTTGTAGTGCAATAAAAAATAATTAATTAAAAATTATCATCGAATAGATAATTATATCTATTTAACTAGTCCAGATGGTCCTATTTTGATCCTAAACATCTGGGTTATTTAAAGGTAGTTAGAGGTAGTTTGTAGGCATAGAAACAATTAGAGCCATTAAGAGTTTCTTTAGATTTTCTTTTAATCATAACTTCCTTAAAATATAAAAACATGTTGAAAAGTTAAAAAATATATCTTATGATCTTTTGCAAAAAATTTCAAAGAAACCTCTTTAATTCATGCCTACAACAAACTACCCTTTAAATAAATTTGATTATTTCTTTATTTAGTGATAAAAGAAATTTTAAATTATATTTTATTACACCATAAAATCCATGCATAAGCGCTCATATATCCTATTGCTCTCCTTTTGTGGTTCTCATTTAACAAGTACAATTCCGTTTGTCACATTTTACATTATTATAATATACCAAACACCTATACAACACCTATACAACAAATACAGGTTTGCATTTACCATTCCACCGAAGTTAAAACCTCCTGATGGTGTTGCTGGCGGAGCGGTGGATCCGAAATTGAAACCCGCACTAGACGAGGAAGTGGACGAGAACGACGACGATGTCGCCTGAGTCTGCGGATTAGCACCGAACATTGGAGTCGCCGCTGAGGTCTGTCCGAATGCCGGTTGTGGTGTCTCTTGTTGCTTGAGCGCGTTGAACGTGAAATTGGCAGTATTCGTCGACGCTGGGTTAGCGAACGTATCGTTACCGAATATACTGCTACTCGACGGCGTACTTGAATTGCTGCCGAATACGAACAACGGCTGCTTCGCGGCCGACTCTGGTGGATTAGTGTTCGCGGAGAAATTGAAGCCGCCGCTCGCCGATTGTTGCGCGGGCTGATTCGAGCCGAATGCAGGTACGGAAACCAAAGTCGACGTGTTGCTCTCATCCGATTTGGTAGTCGAAAATATAGCGGGCGTCGTTGTGCTACCGAATGCGGATGTGCTACTGTTGTTCCCGAAAGCAGGAGTGTTGGATGAACCAAATGGCATCATAATAGAGTTGGACGAACCGAAACGGCTTCCCATCACTGAGGGTGTCTGCCCAGGTGAACTGAATACAGATGTGGTCTTCTCGCCGCTGCCGAACACAGGCAACTTCGTCTCTTGTGTGCCGAAGATCGATTTGTTCTCGGCACTACCGCTGAACACTGGAATCTTATTCTCGGGCGCAGAGAATCCTGACGATTTGACGGTCGCGTCGGTGAACACCGTCGGTTTGTCCGCTTGGCCAAATGTCATCGGCGTCTTCGAGTCGTTACTGTTGAACAACGGTGTGGAACTCGAGACTATCGGGAAGGCTGAAGCACTCAGTGTGTCGCTCACAGCGGGTTTGTCGGAGGACAGTGGAGGAGGCGTGGGCGTTGCCTTGTTTATCTTGTTCTCGCCGAACGACAGATTCGTAGAGAGAGCCGGCGACGATGCTGAAGCTTGGCCGAAGGTTGGCACCGCAGCTGTCTGGGGAGTCGTCTTTGGGGAGTCGGAAAATGTTAGAGAAGGTTGAGCAAAAGTTGGAAGACAAGTGATCGTTGTACTGGCGGTGGGAGTGTTGCTGTTAGCAGCACTCGTACTGCTCGGTACGCCGAACGAGAAGATCGGGTTTGGTTTTGTGTCGTTCTGCGACGTAAAGCTTTGCTTGGGTAACGCTGGCAACGTCGTGCCAGTACTGATCGTTGCTGTATCGCTCGTTACTGTTAACTTGGAGCTGTCTGCCACGGTAGTCGCAAGAGGAGGCTTCTGTGCCGATTTGTTCGAGATAGGCTGGTTGAATATCGTTTTTGGCGCACCAAATGTGAAAACAGGAGTCGGACTCGCGACAGTACTGAGCACATTGCTCTGTTGCTCACTTGACGTTGTCGAACTGTTACTCTTCGGCATACTGAAAGATAAGTCTTGTCTAGTCTCCTGATTCGTTTTAGCATCAGCTTTGTCGGTAGCTTTCATACTGAATTGGAATCCGATACTGCCAGATGACGTTACGGTACTGCTACTGGTCTTGGGTGTTTCACTCGCGGCTTTGTTCTCTTCCTTGGGAATACCGAAAGTAAATTGCGTCGTGCCGCTGCTCTGTTGCACGCTACCGAATTTGAATCCGTTCAATGGTGACGTGGTGTCGGTCTTGGATTGGCTATCGGTTTTATCTATGCCGAACTTAAACCCACCGCTGTTGGGTGGCACACCAAACTTGAACTGTAAGGTTGATTCAGTGCTCGATGTGGGTTCTTTTGGCTTCGTAGTACCGGGCTTCGAAGCTTGGCAAGCCACGCATTCTGTCTGTTTCGCGTCGTTCTGCAGCAAACAAGAGTCGCAGGTCCACGCACCCTCGGGCTTCTTAAATTTGTCCCCGAATCCGTTGGTCGTCAACGTTTGCTCTGGTTTGCTCGAGCCACCGACGGAGCCAGGTTTAGCTGTGTTACAGCAAGGACAGGTGCTGACGGAGCTGTTGTTTCTAACGAGACATCCCGGACACTCCCAGGAATCTTTGCTGGGCTTGAATTTGTTCATTATGTCGGAATTACCGGGTTCCGTCAGCGTGCTCTCCGTGCTAACGGGAGTTAACTTCTGAGCGGAAGACTCCACGATAGTGTTAGTCTTGGTTGAGCTTACTTTCATCGGAGTAGGTTTGGATGTGTTGCAACAAGGACATGTGACGACGTTTGAATTATTTCTCAGTAAGCAGCCGTAACACTCCCACGATCCTTCGGCCGGTTTAAACTTCTCCATTAGATCAGACTTTTGGGTTTTGACCACAGTCGATGCAGTTGGTTGTGTCACGGACTTGGCTCCCGGTTTCGCGGCAGTGCATGCCACGCACTTGACATCGCTCTGCTTATTTCTTACGTAGCAAGCTGTACATTCCCACTCATTGGTGGATAGCTTGAAGTGAGAGCCGAAGCAATCTTTGGCGACTGGCTTCGTTTTTACGACAATGTCAGTTAACGGAGGTGTCGAGACTTTATCGTTGGGATTTGGCCAGGCAGCTTTACACGCGATGCACTGTTTATCCGAGCCACTGTTCCTGATCAGACATTCACTACACTCCCAATTGGATGCAGGCACCGCAATACTGCTAATTGAACCGAAGGACTCTGTGTCACACGCGCTTTTCGCGTCTGTATTGGAGCCAAATATACTGGTTGTTTTGTCGGGGTTCGCTGTCTCAGAAGACGATCCCAAGTGTGATTGCGTAATTACATTAGATTCTGTCTTGTTCAATTTAGGACACAATATGTCCAGGACACTTCCCGACTTCAGCTCGTGAACCACCGCCGACTCGACGATGCTGTCCTTGCTGCTCTTTGCCTTTTGCTTCAATCTAGGTGCCGTGGACGAACCGGACCAAACGAAATTCGGCATAGACATGGTCATTATATCAGAAGATACAAGAAACGATGTATACCCTATTTTTGAAGGTGAGTCCGACAACAATTTCATGTTACTTGGACTGTCTTCGGCATTGATCGGACTGCTAAACGTATAGTGATTGAAAGATTGCAAATTTTTCCCAGCATCTGTCACTTTAATCGGACTGGCGAATGTGAAAGTGTTTTCCTTGTTTGGCGTAGTCTTGCTCATAGTGTGTGGAGGAGGAGGTATCGTAAAGGTGAAACTGGGTAATGTCGATATCGGTAAAGGTATGTTCGGCAAATTTACGGGTTCAACTGTTTCCTCTTCTTCTAAATTTCTCTTAGATTTGCCCTTTATTTTACCGTGATATTTTTCTCTATCATCGTCCTCAGTTCTGCAAAAATAAAAATAGAAAATCAGCATGTTCACTATCAAAATTTATTTGAGGAACTGTAGGAGAAATCACTATGTATATTTTTCTATATAATTGTGTAAGATAGAGTTATACTTGTTTCAATATTAATTAAACTTTAATTCGAGTTTAAACTCTATTCAAACAAAAACTTGAACTTGATGATTTACTTGAACTTGAATTAAGATTTAATCAACATTGATAGAAACAAAAAGATAATTTGATAATATATGAGTTAAAAATAAAAAAAAACTTTACAGTCATACACATGTGACACTTTCTGTAATCTTTCATGATATATGATTTCTCATAAGATTGTATTAAATGTTACACGATAGATTAATTTACAATAAATTATTAATTGTTAGGGTAAAAGGGGAGTGCACGGAATATCTTACAAATTTGTTTAATCGATTGCAAGTGTTACTTTATGGATATATATTTTTATTTTAACGTATTTCGCAAGAATTTTTAGCATATATTTTCTTGCTTCTGACATCATTAAAAACAGATAGACAATGCAAGAGACCAGGAGTCTTAAGTATTAAATTCTACCTTTTACAAGTATAAAAGTAAACGTACATAAAAATATATTTGATAAATATACCTCAGATGATACTCCTGTGCAAGTGGAGGTGGTTCGCTACGCGCAGAAACTATTTTTCTAGCTGCGAGAGTAGTATCCTGTAATTTTTGCCGTCTCCTTAACTTCAGTATGTCGGGGACGGTTGGTACTGTCAACTCACGCGTCAAATGACGCAAACCAACTCTGGCGGATGGAGTCGCTACTTCTTCTCGCGCTCTCTTCCTGCTCAGTAACGGAGACGCTGCGTTACCTGCGTTTCTCATCGGAATTTTCTTCGCGTCGGATATAGGTGACGAGAAATGTTCTAATGCTTCCAATATTTTCTTAGCAGTCTGACTCATTCCTGATGAATCAACTTCTACTGTAGTAGAAGGTTTAACCTCAACACTTGTTCTCCTTGGTACTTTAAGTTGCAACTAAAATCAACACACGGATTAGCATAACAATCTAGCGAATCAATAACAAATAGTTTTTGCTTCAACTGCCGTAGGAATGAGGAATTCAATCTCTCTTATCAAGTAACAACTGAAATACACACCTCACTTGAATCGCTAAAAACGTTACGACCTCTTCTATAAAAGCCTGCCGTATTCGCACCCCCGAAAGTGGTATTACCACTATAAAAAGGGGAGGACAAAGGAGATGCTCGATTTAGCGCACTTGTCATAACTGATGCGTTAAAACTCGGTCTACGACTGCTTAAAGTATCACGAGAATTACTATCTAGAAACAAGGACCTCGGAGATTGTAAGTGATTAGCTGAAAAAGAACAAATTGTTCATTAAGCATAGCGTTCTTTTTTTCAATTTAACGTTAAACTTTAGTGAGCTATGTAATGTCTACTTAAATAATTTGTATGCAACGTATACGTACTAAATGTCAATTTATCATCAATATGTCTCTTTCTATTGGAAAATGACGAATTGTAAATTTGTTGCAGCAAATTTGACGGGCCTTCGTGTCTATTTGTCTGTGGAGTAAGTGAGCTGCATCCACTGGTGCTTTCACTCGATTCCGAATGATCATCCAACCCATTAGCTGTCCCGTTATTGGTCGGTGAAGTTAAAGAATTTAAGTCAGACCTGTGAGACGTCGCAGTCCTCATGTCTGCTTGTATCGCAGGTGTCGAAGATATTAAGCGCCCTATCCCGCTTGGCCCAGCCGTTGCAGGTTCCAAAAAGTCTTCCGACTGTAATAAATTTCCATGAGCGAACTTTTGTCTCTATCTCGAAGTGTTTCATCATTCAAGTGCTCAAACATTCAGCTTACCGTTTCATTCTGGATAGAGTATTGCTTCTTAGAGGAGTCAACCGTGTTCAGTGCGGTTTTACTCCTTGGTTGTATAGAAAATGTCCCAGGTGGATGAATCACATCCATACGTATGCGCGGTCGTTTGCTAGGAGGCTGCTGCACATCATCGATGAATTCTGATTCTTCAGGATTCTCTCTAACATCTAACGTATCCTCACTACCTTGAGAGGTATTGAACCACTTACTTATCCACGATCGTTGGGGTATAAAATCTGTTACCTTGGTTGCCACCTTTTTTACAAACGACTGTGGATAGAAATGAATCAATATGTAAGATACACATAACAAATAATTACATAACATAGTGAAATTAGCTATAGTTATGCAAGAATGATCAAACAAAACCAAATAATGTACGCTTCAAAAGAAATGAAGGTGAAAATTTGATTACATGATATATGATTTAAAAAGTATAGATAGCATTGAGGTTTTTCACAATCATTCAAAAAGTCAAGCAATTTTTTTCCTTCAAAGGTATTCATTAACAAACTTAATCCTAAAAAATGGGTAAAAAGATGCAACTAGTAAAAAATAAAAACTATATAATAATTTTAGACATCCATAAAGTTTGGATTATTTTATGTAGAAAGATATATGAATTACTCATTAATGAAAGAAAAAATAACTTAAAAATCATAGTTTTATGGATTGGGTTATTCATTGGATGGATAATTCTTGCATAACTATGGTCAATTAAGTTCCACTGTGATCCAGCATTATATCGAGCACATTGTAAAAAAATTGAAAATGATATCTCAAGAATTGTATACAAATCTCCTTTGAGCAAAAATAATATTTAACAAGTTATATATCAATGTTTCTATTATAAATAAGTTTATCACTTCTAATACTTCTATTATATATATGGAATATATCAGAATTTGGAGAACTTATAAAAATAACAGTATCAAGTGTAATAGTAGATAACAGAGCAAAAATAGACTCTACCAAAATGAGTTCTGGCTTTATATAATGAGTTTGAAAACTACCTGATTACATATAAATTTAATTAAAATCTAAGCTAAACTTGTCATACACCACTCATCATATATATGCAAAGTATAATTATCATATGTATGATGATAAATACTTAAATATTACTCTCAAGGAATTTATTGCTTACTAAAAATTAACAGTGTTAATACATGTACTTTTGAATCAATTTTGCAAATATTGATCTTCCAAATAAGTTTCACCAAATTTATTATTTTATATTTATTCACCAAATTCATCATTGATTCCTACATTCCTACAGAAAATATATAAGAATCATGTAAAATTTCTTCAATGCTTTCAACTAAATTTCATGTTATATTACGATATAAGGGCAGTCAATACGAATTCCAGTCCCCGACTTTGACAATGCTAGGATCACAAGACACTTAAGAGAGTAGTCTATTTCAGCGCGAAGCGGTTAACATTACCGCGAGAGCTCACACACGAAGACCTACGCAGAGCGCGTGACGCGTTTGGTGCACGACGTTAGCTAAGGGCAGAGAGGGGAGAGAAGGAAGAAAGAAAAAGAGAGGGAGGGAGAGAGTGAGAGAGGGAAAGATAGAGAGAAAAGACGGATAAGAGTATGATACGTGATTTTCGCGCCGAGGAGCCTGGCTCCGCGAAAGAGAAGCATGCTCGGGTTCGACTTTTCGTCAGAACGCGTGGATCTACGCAGCCGAAAAGAGACGCGTTTCGACGCGCGTAACAACATGCGACAGCACACGCGTGTACGCACGGCAGTCTGCACAGTGGGCGCAGAAAGATTGAGGTTATCGGGCACACTCACATAACCACCGTGACATCGTAGGTACTTGACGGAGGGACGTCGTAGGGACAAGGCGGGCGTGCGGGATGCTTTGCGGCGAGGAATCGGAATCCGATGTTGGCATGATCGCTGTGTGGGCTCGGAGACGGTACCGCGTGGAAAAAACGGCGTCGTGTGAGCCATGAATTCGCTTACACAGCGCGGCTCTTGCGCGAGACTACTCACGTTGTTCGCATCGTAGGGCTTCGCGTTGCGCGACGGTGGCTGCTTGCCGGCCGGATTGCCGCTTCCCTTGGCCATGCTAGTCGCTGCTCACTGTTCGACGATTACCACGCGCGAGTGTGCGATCACGTTCATCGCCTACGTCTGAAAAACGTCACTGTCTGAGCACTGCACCACCTTCTTGCTTTCTTGCGACGAGGACCACGAGAGATAATATGGCCGCACTCGGCCCCAAAGACCGCCACCAGGGCGCCAGTAGGCCACTCTCGAATCACGCTCGATGCGCTTGCCCACGTGACACACAACGTCTTCCCTCTCGTCCCAGCGACCGACGACAACGCCATTGCTATTAACGGACGAACTTAGGCTACGTTCCGAAATTCACTGCCAGTACTGAAAATCTATAGTTCATGTCACGTATATTATAGAATTTCAGCACTGGCAGTGAATTTCGGAACGCAGCTTTAATTGTAATCTTTTCGAAGAAATATTCTAAATAGTTCTAGATTTACAATTTCATTAATTCTGTTCTTATTAGCTGAACTGTCTTAACTGATGCTATAAGTTAGGCTGAAGTCCCATAGCATATATTTTTCGCATATCGCGTAAGTGCGTAACCAATAAATTGCGACGTTTAGTATTTCTGTGTAACTTCTAAAAGAATAGAAAGATGTGATTGGTTACACGGTTACGCGTTACGCGAAAATATATGCCATGGGACTCCACTCTTAGAGTGAAACAAAACATTTATCTCACTCTAACTTATTACACCAGTGTGCACCAATTCAGGCAGTTCAGCCAAAAAGAACAGACTTATTGATTAATATCTAGAGAATTTACTTTTGTAATTTTCAACACGTTGTGTTAATATACGATCGATTCTTTACACGATTCAATACACGATTGATGTGTTCTCGGTGTGGTGAATAAGTGTATTAAAAAACCAACAGTTATACAGAGCTACTTTGCAGCTATTATAAAATTGATACATCTAACTGGGATATGCTCTTAATCTTGACTTAATCTACGAGCAAATATCAATTATATTTACGAATTTTATAAAACAGTTTTCTCTACTGAACGCAATCATTATCCCATTGGACAAGATGGAAAGTTTACAAATTTACCTTAAAAGTTATGGACAACTTAAGCAATAATGGCTCCTGCACACAGGACGTGGTAATGCTTACCGCGCGGCGGAAATTCGTGCGACAGCCAATCAATATGCTGCTTTCCGTAATAACCTTCTAGCTCTTACGGAAAAACAACATATTGATTGGCTGTCGCGCGGACTTCCACCGCGCGACAAACATTACGCGTCCTGTGTGCAGGAGTTATAAGTTTTACTGCGCAGGTCCTGATTCTCGAAAATATATCGCATACGACATTTAGTGGAGAGCTATAGTATATGTAACATGAGCTATAGCTATAGCTATAGCTTTTTACTAAATGTCGTATACGATATATTTTCGAGAATCAGGGCCCAGGTTTAATCATACCATAAAATAGTTGCGCAGTAAAACTTACATATACGCAACTAGTTAAAGAATCGAGCCCCAGCTGATTGGCTGGCATAAACATATCGGATTTAGACATTGCGACGCCAATGCAGAAAGATAGTTATTATATATATACTACATGGAATGAAAAGTCCCGGGCCTCACATAGGCTAGTATCAAATCGTGTATGTCATCGTTGAGAGCCATCCGTTGAGGGCCTCATTCCAAATTTCATGACATTTTATTCATTAGTATTCGAATGACCGCCGATTGTGTCAGACAAGTTTTGGTTGTTTGCAAATGATGGAAAAAGTAATGAAAAAGTAATATACACTATAGTATATGTGACATATACTATAGTGTTTCTAGTAACAGAGTGCACCCGGGTAGGGAATCTGAACGCATCCTTGAGTGTGTGGGATGAGAGAGAGCATGCTTGTAGGTTTCGAACAGCGCTCTGTCTTTGTCTAGTACAGTCTGAACCAAAAGCTAAGTCGACTGATTTCTAAACATAAGCTGAATCTTTGAATTAGGAACCATCTTTGCTTTGTTTTTTTAATAAGTCGATAAGTGAATACTAATAAATGAGAAAAAATATATCTATATATATTTTTTATACCCTAAAACTTTCGTTCATAAGCTTAAGTCACTGCCATTCAGTGGTCACTGCTTTTCATATTATATCTAACTTTTAACTTAGCTATATTACATTCTCCCCACTCTCGACTATACTATGAACCAGACAAAGATAAGAAAGGAAACAAAGAATCTCTCTCTCATCTCGCATGCCTCAAGAAGCAGCGCGCGTTCCAGGGCTGCGTTCCGAAATTCACTGCCAATGCTGAAATTCTATAGTATACGTGACATGAACTATAGAATTTCAGTACTGGCAGTGAATTTCGGAACGCAGCCCAGGTATATATATTGGGAGCGGTGCACTTGGACACGGTGCATTTGGACACAGCCAATCACAGCACCGTGTGATTAGAGACATTTGTAGGGTCCCTTGGAACAGCGACTTGTGATTGGACTGTGTTCAATTGCCCCGTGTCCAACTGATATAACCCATATATATTTCAGTAATTATTGTTAAATTCATGGCATAGCGGTTATGTTGTGCTGAATATTAATAAGCTTGGCCAGCTGGATTGTTTGTTCTTCTTAATTTGAGGTTATTTGGGCGTACGATAGAAGTATGCATATATTACGCAGTCTGCGACAAAACTATTCCGCAGATTCCACTAAAAACTGCTGAAAAACGCGGAACGTTCGTGATTAGTTCCGCTCTCGTTCGGCGCTCCGCTATTCCGCTGCATGGGTTTGCACCATAAAACGGAAATTCAAGTATTCTCTGTACTCACAAGAAGTGTATTGCATTGGGATATTCGTTAATTCTTAGCAAACAATGTAAGTATAATAATGTTTTACAAAGTATATATTCTCTATATTCAAAACATTATGACTAATCGAAAAATAAGAGATTTGAACGAAGATTTGTATTGTTTCACGATCTACGATCTTTTCTAGCCTTCAAAATTGTAAGCGTTCAATAGAATCGTGTTTTGATGAATAAAATAGGTTGATTCTGTAACTTTTAACGCTAATTCTTAGCGAACAATATAAGTATAACAATGTTTTACAAATAAATATATATTCTGCACATTCAAAACACCCTATACAGCACAAATCTTCAAAGGACGTTCTAAGGACGTTCTAAGGACATTTATACATCCTAAGAACGTCCCAGAATATTCTCTGAAGGTTTTGTGCTATCTGGGACTGTGACTAGTTGAAAAATAAGAAATTTGAACCAAAATCTGTGTAATTTCGCGATTTATGATCTTTTCTAACCTATAAAATTGTAAATATTTAATAGAATTGTGTTTGATAAATAAAATAGACCGATTCTGTAACTTTTAACGACAATGTCGTCATCATTATATTATCGTTACGTAGGGTAATATATGATAAAAAAGTTGTGCAACGATACAGCATGTTAGCAACATCGTCATTATAAAATTAGAGTTGGCTTGCAGGATTGAAAAATAAGACGATACTAATGATGTTATTTTCACAAGTTACTTCTTACAGTGATTACATAGTAACGATATTTTTTACATAACAGAAAGAGAGTGTGTAACAGTAAATTAAAATAATTCTTATTCCATACTCTTTTATCGAGAAAAGAAAATAAGAGTTAATTAGTATAGACCGAAATATGATTTAATATAAAACCCATTGTACAGTCAGCTGATTGAAATATTGCAACACTTTGGTGAATTCCAGCATGTCCTTGCTGAAAAATATCCTTAATCAGCTGAGTTTGTACAAAAATCCTTATTCTGTATTGATAAAAAGTGACTTATAATCAATCAAAATGTCTATAAGTCGTGTTTAGAAATTTTTTTTATTACCACTTTAGAAGTATTTTCACATTGATTTAGAGGATTACCAGAATAAAGATTAAAATATCCTTAAATTTAATATGTTGTATTTTGTAATTATACTACTATAAGACATCATGTAGCAACATTAATGTTAATACATTTAATACCAAGATGGAGTCGATGGATTATGATGAAGATCGCAGTAGTTGGCGTGATGAGATGGGTCGAAACAATGATGAGTGTGGTGGTGAAGACACATCTGAAAATCCGCAAGAAATCTTGAACGAATGTCTGGATAAATTTAAAACAGCTGATTATATAATGGAACCTGGGATTTTTGTCCAACTTAAAAAATACTTCCAAGCTGGTGGCAATCCAGAGCAAGTTATAGAATTATTGTCCAAAAATTACACAGCTTGCGCACAAATGGCAAATCTTCTCGCAGAGTGGCTGATTCTTGCTGCAGTAAATGTTACTGATGTACAAGCAATGGTAGAAAATAATTTGAAGGATATGATTCTTAAGACCTTTGACCCCAAGAAAGCAGATAAGATCTTCACAGAAGAAGGTGAGACCCCTGCCTGGTTGACTGAAATGATTCAGCATCCTACTTGGCGGTCTCTTATTTATAGACTTGCAGAAGAGTATCCTGATTGCTTGATGTTAAATTTCACTATCAAGCTGATATCTGATGCTGGATTTCAAGGTGAAATCACTAGTATCTCAACTGCAGCTCAACAAATTGAAGTATTCTCACGTGTATTAAAAACTGCCATTGCTGGGTTTCTTGAGAACACAGAAAACTGGCAGTCAAGTATACAAGAATGTGCGAAGATGGTATGCCATGGTCAACATACATATGTCTACAGTCAAGTTCTGTTACAAATTCTCGCACAAGAGCCTCGTGGTGGCTTCATGATGAAAAGACTTTCTCAAGAGATTACAAAGTGTGCTCAACAAAACCGACATGACGTCACACCAATAACTATGGCGTTGAATGGTGCTGCTACTAGTCCTATAGCATGTCAGGCATTATCGTCTATGTTATCAAGAAATTGTTTAAATCCTGCTGACATTAGTTTATTGTTTAGAAATTATTCATCTGCAGATCCACCTCCTATTGAGTTACTACGTAATCCTCAATTTTTGGGTAAGCTAACAGACTTATTTAATATGATATAATAAGGATTTATATAATATAATAAAGTGTACGTCAGAAAAACTGTATGTAACGCTATCTTGTCTTTTTCTTTTATAGAGTTATTGGTTGACACACTTTTTAAACCTGGCATAAAAATTAATCCTGAACACAAGCCAAAGTATATATATTTATTAGCTTATGCAGCAAGTGTATGTGAAACATGCCCTAAAAGAAGTAATACACGTAAAACTAATAAGGATGACCTGAAAACAACTATTCAGGCAATTGAAAAAGTGCATAATATATGTAATGTAAATAAAGGATCAACTGAGTTAATAGCAGAGCTACAAACTCTATATCAATGTATACGGTGTGTATTTACTTACAATGTCTTCTCTATGTCAAGACGAAAGGAACACTTTTCACTAGTAATTTATTTGTTACAGATTTCCTGTTGTAAGTGTCGGTGTAATACGATGGGTGGAATGTACTGTTACAGAACCCTCTTACTTTAAATTGTGCACAGAACATTGTCCTCTTCATCTTGCTTTATTAGACGAAGTTGTAGTTTGCCATTCTTTATTACATCCAAAAGTATTGAGACTGCTAGTACAATTATTTGAGAGCAAACAGGACGAATTGGAGATACTTGTACAGGTAGCTATCCTTTAAGAATATTATCAAGCTGCAAGATGAGAAACTCGTTTTCACAAGATCTATTTCAATTATTTAAGACAGAGCTCGGAATTAGTTGCCCATTTCGGCCGATTCTCGGGAGCTACGCCTTCTATCTTCCCCTTGCCGCGAGCGAGCCATGAAAATGACGGTCGCGGCCAGTCGCGGCTTCAAGCTGGGAGGCTCGACCGTCAATTTTGTGACCCGCTCGCGGCAAGGAGAAGATAGAAGGCGTAGCTCCCGAGAACGGGAAAAATGGGCAACTAATTCCGAGTTCTGATTTAAGATACTGTCGAAAATTCTAAAATTCTATTTTTATCGAAAATTTCCGATAAAATTAAAGTTTTTAACAATTTTTCCTTGCAGCTGGAAATGAAGAAAATGTTGATCGACAGAATGGTAAATTTACTGAGCAAAGGTTGTGTAGTACCCGTTGTATGTTACATTAAGCAATGTTGGCAACGCGGCGATACAGATGTGTCTCTAATAAGATATTTCGTCACTGAGGTAAATTATAATGCTGTCTTTTCGTTGGTTTATGTCACAACATATAGATATTTTAATGAATTGTATGTTTACAAGGTTTTGGAAGCGATAGCACCTCCGTACTCAACTGAATTTGTGCAATTATTTTTACCAATGGTAGAAGATGAAGAAATTACTGGAACTATGCGAGGAGAGAGCGAAAACGATTTGGTTTCAGAATTCATTGGTAAATACAAGAGTTAATCTACAATAGATAATAGCATGGTTTTTGTAATTTGTAAACTACTTAATTTGTCTATTTTTTAGTACACTGCAAGACACATAGCCCTGTTGGAAGATGACGTTACAAAAATTAAAAGTAAATAAACTCGAAGAACAAGGATGTATAACGGATTTTTATTCTATCGTTATACATCACTTATATGGATCATATGGCTGTAAACATGTACATATTGGATGAATTCCAAATCCATCTGTGATATGATCATCTAAGCGTTTTCTGAAACAAAAGGATATATACATAGATAATGCTATGTAAATATAATTAAAAGAAAAACGCTTATTAATGAACACATGAGAAAACATGTTATTTGCTTGAGAAAGAAATTTACTGTTATAATCGTAACTGTAAATTTAAGCAATCAGTATTATTTTTTAGTTTAAATACACAAGACAAAATATCACTCAAACATAAAAACATTTGATTCATCTTTGGAAGACACAATAATATTGGTTGTTGAAATTCTGAAGTATCATAATATCAAAAGACTGTTATATCCTTAGATGTAATTAAAAAAAAAGTGAAACCATGTGCTATATTGTACATACATGGTAATCATTGTTCATAATAGAGGAAAATATTAGTATCTTGTTATATTAAGGATATGTATTAAGATAGGAAATATATTTTTAAGAACACACATATGTGTGATACAGATCATAGACTTACTAAACAATGATCACATCTTTTCAGCTGTAACAAAATATATCTTACATGTAATACAAATGTATAAAAAAAAATAAATACTGTAAGAAAAGAAAATACCAATAGTATAGGTGATACTAAGCTAATGATTACGAAAATATGAAACAAATATAAACTTTTAAGGTTCTTATTTTCTCGCTACAGCAATTTTAACCCTTTTAGTGCCGACCGAAAAAATCTACCTAAAATACTAAAGCGTAAAATATCGGACCAAATTGATGTAGTTTGATAGAGTTTGAGAAAAATTTCTGAAGAGAAACTAAACTATTTATAACGTCTTATAAAATTAATTTTGAGACAGAGTTCTCTCGCGACGCGGATAGTCCAGCAGCATCATATGCGCAACGATATATCATTGTTAGCACTTTTTACAACTGTTGCTAACGATATATCGTTGTTTACTATAAGGGTTAATTAATGATATCAGAAGTGGGAAAATATTTAATATTTTTGCAAAATATATGTAATAAAAAGATTCATAAAATAATAATATATGGTAAATCAGATTTATAAAATATTTTGAGCTTTTTTTATTTAATTAATAACAAGAGTATCATTTTATAGATGTTTTTATTTCAACATATTCAAATACTTTGTAAAAATGTTTAATGTGCATTTTTTCACTTCTGATGTAATCAATCAAGATAACCATGACAAGAGCTTTAATGACAATATACCCGATTTTATTAATATTTATTTTAGAATAATAAATTTCAAATTATACATACTGATAGGTTTTCCATCCTTCCACTGAGTGAACTTTACGTTGGCTTCATCGCGTTTAACTGCTTCGACTCTTAAGTCAGCTTTCAAGGCTTGCCTAACTAACCTAGCTGCGATCTGAGAATAGTTAATATAGCTGCAATAAAAAAAATACTTTTGTACATGTATATCCTCAACTTGTATAATATTTTATTATATATAGAAGGGAGAAAAGGAATTGTAAAATTAAATTTTTCGCTATAATTATATAAAATATAAACAATAATTATATGAAAGGTAGGTTACATAACGACCTTGACGACAAATTGTTGCAACTGTATGACATACGTAAAAGAAAATACATAAATAAAAACTCAAGATTTTCTTACTTTAATCCTGCTTGCCTCCACGCTGACATTTTTTAACTGTACTTCAAAAAGACTGCAAAGGAACAAGCAAATCCGTTCGGATGACACCAGCTAGCAGAACCTTATGCCTTCTACTACCATAAAGAACCAATCAGGATATTTCTTTAGATGAGTACTTTCTCTAGAAGAAAATTGCACTGATAGTAAATTTGGGTTAGGCGACAGTTTTCCGAAAAATGGAGGGGATAATGTTGGTACCAAGGAAAATCTCTACACGATATAATTTAAAGATCTGTTCTTTGTAACTGCACACTGTTGAACTAATGCAAAAGGTTAGAGTGAGAAAACGTATACTTGCCTCACTTTAATTTATTGCACCAGTTCAGCAGTGCATCTACAAAGAAGAGATCTTTAAATTATATCGTGTAGAGATTTTCCTTGATACCAACTTTATCCCTTCCGCTTTTCGGGAAACTGTCGCCTAACTTAAAGTTGTTCATAAGCAGAAGCAATTAAAACATCGATTGAGTAATTAGGACTTCGACTGGTTGATTATTCGCAGATTGATTGTTAATACTTCTTTTGGCTATAATTTATTATATTTTCTACATTTCAAATGAAAAAAATAGATGTGATGAAGGAAAACTATGAACTTAAGGCCGGTGTCCCATTAGTCCCGATCTACAATATGTGTAGTAAGCTTTAAGCTTTAAGAAATTGACCAATCATAGTAGAATTATAAAAGAATAATCAATCATGATTGGTTAATTTCTTACAGCTTAAAGCATACTACACCTATTGTAGATCGAGACTAATGGGACACCAAGGTCCGTGGATTGGTAACAGTGCGAAGGGAAGGTCTTCCGAGAGATACTTGAATATCTTAAGCCAGCGGCACACAATGCTTGTTTTCATGATGGATTGCTTGCTGGACGTAAATACTCTATTCTGATTGGTCTGTCTTCAGAATGCACTAATCAGAACAGAGTATTTCCATCCAGCAAGCAATCCAGCATGAAAACAAGCATCGTGTGACGCTGGCTTTATGCCCAATTTCTTCACCTCTGGTTAACTTTATCTACCAGTTATTTTATTGGAATTGACCAATCATATTTATAGTTGACAAGATTAACTAATCATGGTTGACATTTATCCGATACATAAAGTTAACCGAAGGTGAAGAAATTGGGCATTATAGCGTGTTTGACTGGCTCTGAGTTAATCGCTCCGAGAACGATTAATGACGTCATAAGTCTCTACTAGCCAATCATAAAGCTTATAAGTACTTATTCGACCAATAAACGTAGGCTGAATAATCCAGAGCCAGTCGAACATGCTATTAATAAATAATAATAGAATAGCTTAATAAATAACGCAGTACTAAATGTACACCTTAATCCTCTCTTCTTATTGGTCATAACAGAATGTATCATGACTAGATGTCGCTGACGTGACGTTGAAAACACGACAAGAGCAAGTTCTCCCTCGAGGACTGCGTTCAGAAACTCTACTCGGTGAGTAGAGTAACATTTAATTAGCCAATCAGGGCAAAAGGAACTAAGATTTATTTATTATGATTGGTTTATTAAAGTAACTGTACCCATCGAGTAGGATTTCTGAACATAGCCGAGGCAGTGCTACAAATTCGGGTAACTTTTGGTGCTTTGCGCCGTAAGCGTCATTCTATCTTTTTCCCGCAGGTAATGAGCGATAAAGATAGAATGACGCTTAAGCGCATAAACGCCCAAAGCGAACGCACCAAAAGTTATCCGAACTTGCACCACTAGTCCTGTTCTTTTAGTTGCATTGCTGAACTAATGCAATAAGTTAGAGTGAGAAAACGTACATTTGTCTCACTTTAATATATTGCACTAGTTCAGTAGTGCAGCTACAAAGAACAGGCCTACTCCCTCGAGATCGCGCATGCGTCTTTTTCCACACGAAATGGCGGACGCTTGAGGTATTTTGAAGTTACGCTGGCATCATTTTCGTGTCGAAATTGACGTAACTTCGCATTAGGTAAATTTAATAATCTTTACAAATGATCTTAACACGTATCTCGATGCGTATATGATCATATAACGTAGTTTAGTGGTTATTAACCTCTGATTTGTTGCCACAAGCGTAGCGGAATAGCATTGTTTGTAACGGATGTCCATTTCTCGAAGTTCGATCTCACAAAAACGCACTTCTGCTTCAGTTTGTACTTACATTTCAGTTAGTCAGAATCTTAGAATTCCAAGTATATTTTTTTCATATGAACATGTTTCACATGAACTGCGTTCGCTCTGGATACTTTTGTGCTGATAATATCACTCTATTTTTTCGCTTATATGCCGAAGAAAGATAAAAAGCATCTAAAAAAAAACGTAGCCTTGGATTGTGAACCGAGAACCATATAGTTAAATTTAACATTGAAAATGACTTGTGTATATAAACTACTTGTACTGCTTGTATTCCCAAAGCTGTCAATTTTTTATTATAATATAATATCAGAGATAAAATGGTAGTGAGAAACTGGACGTTTCTGACAACTCTCACATTTGCACAAGTGTTTTGTTATAAGATGGTCTTAATAGAGCAGATTCGTTAAATATTGTGAAAACTGTGTTATCAGATATCCTAGTATCACTCACACAGCAGAATGTTCAAAATATATCATTGGGATATCCTTGGGAAAGATATTTCAATATCTCTAAAATATCCTCATAATGTATTTTGAACATTTCTGCTGTGTGGGCAGTAACATAATATCGATGTTACAATGTCAGTTCAAGCATATAATATGTCATGTAATAGTTACATATTATGTATATATTATATAAAATGTAACAGTTACATAACATACTATATGATTGAGCTGATATTGGCCGCGTTCCGTTTCACGCATATGCGCGCGTTTATCTACAGTTCATGTTACGTATATTGTAGGAAATGCGCGCATAATGCGTGAAACGGAACGCAACCATTGTAATATCGATGTTATGTTACTGATGCTTGGTGTTTACTGGAATATATCCAACAACAGAGAAAAATATTGTACAAATAAATACTCATTTCCCTCATAATTATAGTTCTTATAATATATTAATATTTCTAAAATATGCAAAAATAATATTTTCATAATATCAAAATAGAATAATGTGCTAATTTCAAAATAGAATAATGTACGAGTGATGAGAGAGTTACATTAATTTTCTATGTTTTTGTAACTTTTAATGCAACGCTTGTTTTGTAAGAACATTCCATAAAACTGAAACCAGCAATTTTGCACGCAATTACTTGATTATTCCGCGATTATATAAAAATTTTTTACTTCATTAAAAATGATAACGCAATATATACGCAAAATTACTGATGCATCTGATATTTTTATAGGCTGATAAAGTGAATTTTTGTGTGATAAGTCTGTTGCTGTATTCTGGACAACGAAGTACGTGATGGACAGTTGTACTTCGGAGACTGTCGAATCGACAATGGACGATCAACATTTAGCGGATGCCTGTGAGTCTATTTATTTGTCGACAATATTTTACGATATTTTGCATCCGTAATTCTTTCGTATTGTGACTTTACGTCGTGCAACCTCCTACTTTTCTTTATTATCATGTAATCAAGCAAATCTGTCGTTGGAACTGAAAATAATCGAATACTGATCGATTCGAGAATCCTGTCGCGAATTCAATTAAGTAGGCCATGGTTCTTCTACGTTCAATTGTAGATTATAAATGACACCTTTGCCTTTGCGTAATATGAACTGAACGACAAACGAACAAAGCTAACTCGGGTCTATGTTCACTCTGCAATCTCAAATGAATCGATCTCTTGTTCATAAGATCAGTTACATGTTCAAGATTCACGATAGGCTAATATACTCTTGAAGAGTGTGATCGCGTGACGACTTTCGATCGGCCAATGATTTCTCTCGACTGCTTGAGGGAATTTTGTAATAGATAATTGTAAATGTTTAACCATTGTGACCGAGAACAAGCAATATTCGTAAGATTTCGATGTAGCAATCGATGTGAGACTGAAAAGATATTTCTTAGAACATAGAGTTTCACTTTCAGCAGAAAACGTTTGTAAAAATTAGTTTAATTTCTAATTTTTAATTTGCACGTAAATACTAGTTTAAAATTCGGCTGAAAGTAACGTTGACTATTTGCATTCGAAAGCAATAATTACATGTGTTTTACGTTTCATTAAAAAAAGAGAGAGAGAGAGTAAACAGAAATACATCCGAGTGAAATAAATTTAACGCGGTAACAGAGCTAGTTCGAAATGTTAGTCGAAATTGTCGAAGCACAACCAACAAGAAAGCTTCTTAAAAAAAATTGGGCGTTGTCACTATAGGACGTGTGTTCAAAAGCGTGTCATACTTTTGCACGTGCGGCGTGGCGCGCGATGCGCTTTTGCGAAATAATATCGTTTTGCCGATGCTCACGGCGTTCGCGCTCAGCTTACGCACCAAGACGACGTACAACCGTGTTATGTAATCGTAGTCCATCTTCTTTCCTCAGACAATGGTACATTTCGCGAGCGAGAACAATAACCTTAGGTGACGTGTGGAAAAGCGCGTCGACCGCGATAAAATCGCCAATTGGTATGCACGCACGTGCCTGTCACAAGTACAGCGTAGTATGCGCGTCTGACTAATGTGAACGAATTTCTGGACTTTGTGTAAACGATTTTACATATCACTGTTTCTATTATTCTTATAAGATATGCTAGGAATACCTGAATTGAAATTTATCCTGTAAGTCGAACTTGAAGGATCAACAGAGAATATACTGAGAGAAAAAAATGATTAACCTAAACTAAAACTAGTTATTTTTTGTCTCAACCATATTTCTTGCTTGTTCTAACACAAAAATGATAGTAGTAATATAAAGTTATCAGCACTAACGTTATAGTAGAATTTATAAAAAAAATTATTTCCTTGTTCATAATTTACAGTAATTACTTCTCTATATGATTATACTTACAAATATCAAATATTTTTTTCTCAGTATAAATAATATTATACAAGTTATTATCTTACTTTGACGTCACAAGCGGCCACTTACTGCTATCTCTTTCGTATTGATATTTTGAATATTTTAGACAAAATATTTTTTATTTCGGAATTTTTTAATATTTGTGTTAAACAAAATTATATATTCAATATTTTTTTCTTGAATTTAATTTCTATT